GGTTAATGTTTATCACTCCACCTAGCCAATCTAGAGGGTGTAAATGGTGTGTAAAAATAGCAGTAGGCCACCCTAGAGGGTGTAAATGGTGTGTAAATATAGTAGTAAGCCACCCTAGAGGGTGTAAAGGGTAAATGTAGTCTATCTATAGCTCTTAATTGGTCATTGACAAAGCCTTGTAGCATAAGTTAAGCAAAAAATATAAAGGGTGATAGTTCAGTTAGCCAACCTAGAGGGTTTAGGTCTGAAACGAACAGAGCCAAAGAGGATACTTGATCCACAAGAAAAGTGGTGCTTGAAAAAGTGCAAGTCAACCGTGCTAGAGATTATAACAACAGTATTAAAATCGATCAAAGTTTTTTGAAAGTTTTTTTCTCACTTTCATTAGCCCAATCATTTCATTTCTTTTCTTTTCTGAAAGTTTTACAAATCTTAAGATCAAAAAGATGATGGTTGATTTCTGAAAGTTTTAAAAATCTAATTAAAGTTGACGAGGATGCTCTCCCGGGGTTGCACTGATGGATTAATGAGTCATTAGAGACAACAGGAGACTTGGTAACGACTCTAGACTGGTCTGGTGGTGCTATTGACCAGGTTTCCTGCGAGAGACTGACGTCAGTGATGACCTAGTTACAGTCATTGTCGTACAATGTCATACACTGTTGCAGTATATCTGATTAGTTATAATAATATTGATATATTGGTCTCCAGTCATTCTTACGTTAACTCCTCATACCATCAGTTAACTTGCTTTATTTCATTACAATGGTCGCTCAAACAGTTTCTCTTAAAATTTCTGGTAAGTTTTCTTATTTCATTAATTCAAAATGATAATTCAAAATTTATTTTGTATTTTTTTCAAAGCTTTAGTCAAACTTGTTCTGAGCTTTTTGAAAATAGTTAGATACAGAATCGTTGATTTTCAAATTATTTGATTAAGGATGTTGTGTTTTACATTAATTTTCAAAGGATTTTAATTGTTGTGACCAATTGTCAGGCGGCAAAGGTTTTGTCATTTTTCAAACAAGCATTGAAACTTTTTCATTTATAAGGCAAAATTTAATTTGAAATTGATTGAATTTTCAAAATTGCATCCTGATTCTATAATTTGGACTGAATTGTGCATTTGATCAAGATTTCAATTCATTTTCAGTCTTTCAGAGTTTTCCAGTTTATAACATTTATATTTTTTATAAGAGATATATAGGAATCATTGTAACTAAACAAGACAGATACAAATATTTTCAAGTTCATGATAATCTTGAGAAAACATCATTTACGTTTACGTCATTTTGAAGATGATAATTGAAGAAACAGTCAGTGATGTCATAAATATATTAATTCGATACTTTTACAGAAAAAATAGACCGAAATTTCTTCAAGTTGAATAAACATAAAGATATTTAAAATCAATATTCTTTCATTGGTTGTTATAATGATGTCATTACAGTCGAAGAATTACGCTATCGGTTGTATATTGCCCCACGGCAACACGACTTGACGTAGTTCCCAGCGTCTGAGTTGGTCTCTAACGAGATGAATCCTGCAATAGAAGACGTTTGTTCGCTCCAAGCGATTTTTTTATACCAACTATGTCATTAGTTTGTAGTTGATAGCCTTGTGAATTGACGTGGTTTTTATTTTGTGTGTTTTTTCAGTCGTAAAACACTATGAAGGTTGGTATATGAGTATAAAATTGACAAGCTTTGTCGTGATATTGCATTTCATGTGAATTTGTCTTCCAAGTAAGTCCTAGATGTTTTAATTACTACAACTCATCTCATGTTGCCAACATGTGTTTTGGATACACAATCCTCATCAGGACTACTTCTTTGGAAATATGAGCTAAATTCCTACTCTTTGGACATATTATGTGTTTCAGATTTACAATCTTCATCAGGACAGCTTATTGTAAATATGAGCTAAATTCTTATATTTGGACTTTGACGTATGAGTTATTAGACAGAATGAGAAGTGGTAGACAATCTTGATTGACTGATTGATTCCGTGGAAATCTGTCCAGGAGATTTCATCATGGAGTTCCTTGAAAATTTTCCAGTTCCGATTTCGTCACTCATCACCATGTCTAATGATTTCATCATGGAGTCAATGAAAATTTTCCAATTTGGAAATCGTCACAGTTCATCTTCATTACTCAGGTTTTTGTCACATATTGATAGGAGTTTTTCCAAGAGAATTTGGGGCCTTATAGTTGATATAAACCTTCTGTTTTTAAATTGTTTCCAATTTTTCTGAAAATTCAAGAAATATTTGATTACCTGGAAACCGATCTTGACATTTCCTTGTTTTTGAAGTTGAGTTTGTTGACGAAAAATGTTTCCTGATGTCCTGATTAGAATAATAAATTGGTCAGTTGTCAGGACAAGATTATTTCTCGTCATTTGATTGGTCAGTTTGAATTTATCTGGAATCTGATTGGATGAAAGGTTAATGAATTGTTTTGATAAGACAACTAATGAATTTCCTGTGTCCTTCGTTATCGTGTGGGGGAGTATTTACACGAACAAAACATGATCTGCATTTTAAAACATTTCCGTTTGTCTGAGATTCCAGATTGTGACAACAATGTTTAATGATAGAAAATTGCTCTGTGATATTTCAATGTTGAAATCGGTGAAAATGTTCAATAGCAGAGATCGATATGGATGATGTTCTTCTCTTTTGAAGTTTTTATTTAAATTGTTGTTGTTTTTGTGAAGTAAAGATGTAAAACATGTTCAACATTGTAGAACAATTTACCACAATGTTGTCAATACATCAATTAAGGTTATGGTTAATTAGTCTTCTTAATCAACTTCTCATTAGTTGATTGGCTAAGATATTCAGGTTTTGTCAATATAGAAACAATGAATCTGTATCTCCTACCTTATTCTTAACTCCATTTCTATTTCTATTTTTTTGAGTTTCCAAATAGCTAACAAGGTTAATTTGGTTTATTAGTCATTGCATTATTTGATCAAATTTGTAATTCCTGACTGATTTAACCGATGTTTTTTACTTCTTAGAAATTCAGTGGGGATTTAATCGTATTTATTGGAATGAAATTAAAAAGTAATCACTTAAACTTCCGTATTGTAATTTGTCTACTTTTTTATAATATCTATTTCTTTAATCCTATTTATAAAAATTTACATAAAAAATTCTGATTTCATTGAAATTCTCTTTTACAACTTTCCTAATTTCCTGTTTCTTTACTAATATATAAAATTTACATAAAAATCTTTTTGAATTCTGTAGTCCGTATTTTTCTAAATTGAATTAATTTTTTATTAGAATTCTAGAATTCCGTGGGAATTATTGTTTGTTTGTATATAAAATGAGAGAGTGACCGAGTTCCTGAATTTCTATGATTCAATCAGAAAAGCTAATATGAAACTATGTATTACATTGTACGATTTATTGAAATGTTTTTATCTGTTCGTGTTCCGTTATTGACTGGCTAAATCTCATTTAAATCATCCATTAGTTTCCGAGTTTTACGACAATAATACAATCCTTTACAACTGAAACGATTAATAATAGATAAAAATACAGTCGAGATTTCTGGACATATAGATTTAAAATTAATCTGCGTATAATCTGACAAAATATACAGGTCAAAATATATTAGTCATATATCTGGTTTTATCTCGATCAATTTATGCCAAAATCTTTGTGTTTCGTTTACACTTTCGAATGTCTTTGAAAATAAACTCGGTATTTATAAAAGTTTTTTTTAGATAATGTAAAGTTGAATGAACAGTATTTTAAAATTATTTATGAATCTATTTATTTTAATATGTAAATAAGGTGACTAATTCTGTCATATTTATTTATTTACTTCGGTCAGTACTATTATTAGACTATTCACGTGCATATTTATTTGCATATAAATGAATGAATTGAATATTTGGATCAGTCTACTTGCAACATTGAGTTTATAAACATGGAAATGATACGTGCGTTTGTTTTTCTGTGTTTTGATCAATGTTTTAGAGGTGACTGACTGATTTCTAATAGTAATTTGATTCTCACTTGGTTAATTCTGAGAGATTTTTTCTGATTTCTATGTGATTTGATAAACTTGAACAAACAGAAACTGTTTTACTGTTGTCAATCTGAAAAAGTGACGTCGGAAAATAGGGTTTATTGACAAATCTTAGAATAATTGAATGTTTTCTCGTTAAAGATTCATATTTAAATACTTTTATTTCAAGTTGAAAAGGATGAGAGAGGGGATGGGAAGGGAGAGGGAAAGGGGCTGATATTGGAAGAATTTCTAAGTTATTGTTTTAATATACAATTGTTTTTTTTTTATCAAAAGTGCTCTCCATCTTAAATTTGATTTATTCTGAAGGAGATTTGAACTCACGGCACCTGTTTACCAGTCAACTTACAAACTATTGAGCCAACATTCTAGTCTCTAACTCCTTTTACACATTTTAAATCTAGGATTTGTATAGATTATCGAGAAGAGAAATTGACACAAACCAAATTGAACCTAGGAATAAACAGTGGACTATTGAAACTTACGCCAACTCAGTGACGAACAAACAATTCACCGATTATACCCCTTGACGTCAAACTTCGTTAATCTGTTTGTTGGTACTCCGCGAAGTTTATTTTCTTTTGTGTTTATTTATCTTTTATTCATTTAATGATCTTGTACTTTCTTTCACTCCTTTCAATATTGACTAAAAGATTAAGAAATTAAAAGCCGATGTAAGTTGTTTACATTGAGATCAGGGAATCTTTGGTATTTGACGTCTGAAATGTTTTATGACGTAATTTTAGTTACTTGTTTATATTCAGAAATCAGATCTGTTATATTTAGTTTTAGATTTTATGTTGCTAAAAGTAATCAGTGTGTTTTTGTATGAATTTTCCTTTCAGCCTAAACAAGCTATAACAGAGATTAATGCCACAATTCAGTTCTTCCTAAATTTCTTAATTTCTATGATTTTTGATAACAATAAACTTAATTTGTGCATTTTTTATATTTTTCAGATAAGCAACAGGAATTAGATATCCCTACATTAAAAGTTGATCAAGTTCAAGCGTTGCCAGATCCTGTTGAATCTACTCGACCAATGTCCCAGATTTCTGGGGTCCGTAAACTCAAACACGCTAACAGTTTCACTGGAATCGTGCCCCGCTACGGAGTGGAGACCCCACATCCTAACGAACTGGCTAAGGTAAATAGTTTTTATTATTGATGAAATCTCTACTTCTAGACAACCTGTCCTGATGATGGCTTTAGTGTCCAAAATATGTGTCAATAAGGGACTGCATTAACGAAAGCTATATATGATTTGTTATTTGATGGTCAATTGGCCTTGCTGTACTTGGCCTTGCTAAATGTAGAGCAACTTGGACACAAAACTGAAAAGTGGGACGAAAAGTACAAAAGGGTTGAATGAAACTGGCCTTCCTCAAGACGTCACGGAGGTCATATAAAGGTGGTGGAATGCTGGGAGGTCGTGGAATGCAAGCGAGGTTGTGAGCTGAACATGGGTTGTTAGTAATCTGGAGTAAATAACATCAATAAGAGACTGGATTGTTCAAGATTTAAACTAAGCTGTCGTTAATATCGAACGTTTTTACGTCAATTGACATACACCAAAACAATAACAAACCAAGTTCACCTCTGTCTCCCGATTTTGTACTTTTGTTGGTTAATATTAAAAAATTCTTAACCTCCGTTATTCATAAGTGTAACAAATTGTTATCTATGTGGACTGTCTGAAAGAGATGCTGAGTTGATAAACCTAAATACCAAATAAATTGTATTAGTTTGTGTTTTTCAAAGTCAAACATGAAAAATGGCAAATAAAAATCAAAAAATCAGTGAAATGAAAATCAACTAACAGTCACATACAGCTGGACTTGACTGGTAAATACAAATGAATCAAAAGCCCTTGAACATCTAATAACAATAATCTCTAACCATCAGCTGAGTCAATATTTGGTGTTTGGCAGTATTATTTAAATTTTTCATAAAAATCCAGTTTCAGTAAATACGAGATCAATGGAATGAAAAATACACAAAAAGTTTACAGATTCTAAATCTTGCCTGTTTCCAAATCATTTTTATTGTACCTAATCACCTTGGCAACTTCAAATAGTTTCCGTACATGGAATCTGTTTTTCAAACAGGCGTAATGCAATTGTTTTTTTTTCGCACTGAGTTTGTTCTTTGAAAAAAGGTTGATTTTTGTATTTTTGCCGTGAGATTTGTTTACATTTGATAAGTCTTGACAAAGTTTCAGATTTTCGTGTTTTTTTGGAACTAACGCACTTGGATAATTCAGAGTTAAAAATTGACATCCTCGATAGTATTGTCTGCGGCCATGACAAATAATTCCTCCAGTGTTTTTTATGTTTGGATAAACCTTTTGAAAGTATTTGTTTTTCGAACCATTTCAAATCTTCAACATTGTTAATTTTGCACTTATAAAATACTTGATGGAATGCAAGAATTCAAAAAAATGATTTATGCATTTCTAATGAAGTAAAAACGTGAGGAATATGATAATTTTTTTGACTCAAGAGCTCATTCTTTTCTGATAAATATGTCCATACCTAAAATGAAAAAGTTTCGTGCTTATGACCAAATAATAAACAAAACCAAAAATGAAGAATTATTGGTGTCCAAGTCCACAAGATCTATGTTGTACTCTTTGTGGACATATTTTGGCAATGTAGGTAAAAGGAAGTAAATATTTTGCAGAAAAGTCACGAAGGTTAGCTCGTTACTGTGCTAGTCACAGCTGTAGTTGTAATATTTGATTTTTAACTATGTTCCTCGTTAGTGGGTTTCTCTTGACTTGTGGTCCACCAACCTCTTTTCTCGATCAAATATTGACTCTCGCATTCCGAAGGTTATTAAGGTGTTGACAGAGATGTAAAAAACGAGCGGTAATCTACCCAAACTAACTCAATAGTAACTATTCGTGTCCGACCGTGACTCCCACCCGCTTCAACTCAGTACATTTCTTTGACGTAATTTTTTTAATTTTTGTAAACAAACTTGGCGAAGTTATCTTCGTTAATCTTCTTAGTTGGCCGTTTATTGTGTTTCATTGTTGATCAATTCGTCTAAAACAAACCAAACTATTTCATTTTTAACATCTTGAGAGGATTAATTTTTTAAAGAATTATCTTTTTAACACAATTACAAAAATTCTGCATTGTTGAACTTGCACTCATTAGGATATTTTTTTAGTTTTATAATTGATTTAATCTTCTTAATGATCTAACAACATCTTACAGAGATTAAAATAAAAAAATTTTTGTGTTAGTTTTTAAAAGTAGTCATTCTTTTGTCGATAAAAGTCATTTTTTTTATTAGGCCATTATGATAGTAAATTTAAAATTTGTAAAAGTTTTTCTATACTTAGTTTCTAAAATAGAGTGGGCAGGGGATTTAGTTATTGAAATACACTCATTCTTTATTACACTAATGACACTGTCAGATTGAACATGAGAAGAAGAAAATGTTGTCAGATCACGAATGAGTAAATAAAAGAAACATAATATCTTTGACTGTATTCACTATATTTGTACAGTATTCAAATTGAGTGAAGTAACCCACAGAAAATAAAAATAGATATCAAAAGTTGTATTTAATCAGATTAACAACTATGAATGAAAAACGAAAAAAAACAAAAATTTTGTTTGATTTTGAATCCGAAAATCAGATTAAGACAGATTGACAGAAGTAATTAAAAGTATTTCACAATTTTAAAAATCCAATTTATTTCCCTTAATAGCGTCTTATAATTTATAAATGGACGAGAAATCAAATATATGGGGTAGGGGGTTAATATCGCGGGAATTGAATCTGTTATTTTTATACGTGATCTGTGATTAAAACAATAAGAATATCATTCTTAGGTTATTTTTGATTTAAATCGAGATATTTTACACGAGAGAATTTATGGTTTGCATGTTCTCATGAAACAACGTCATCAACTCTGTTCTCCTTTCAGAGAGTCCACATAGCTAATAATGTTTATTTGGTGTTAAGGTTTATCAATTGATTTCCCTTTTAGAGAGTTCACATAGCTAACATTGTTTTCTAGTCTCCTGTATGTTTTAATACTCAATCATTAGTATATGTGTTAGGGGTATTAAAGGTTAAAGCCCCTGCCCCCCCGAGCAAGCCCCATGGTGAATGAAACGTATATGAAGGTAAATTAACGTAAAGAATATTTTATATTTTCAGTATTTGGGAGATATTGATAAATGGGGTGTTGATATGTTTAAAATTGCCAACTACTCCAACAACAAACCTCTCACCGCTATAGTCTACACCATATTTCAGGTAAGACAGTCATCCATTTGTTTTCTATCCCATAATTATAACTATCAAACTACAGACCATTTGGAACACAGATGGTCAGCATAAAAGGAACTCGATGGCATTTTTTGATGTTTCTAAATTTTCTGTTTTATTTTCCAGGAACGAGATTTGTTAAAGACGTTTAAAATCCCAGCTCCCACTCTGATTACATACATGATGCACCTTGAGGAGCACTACCATCACGATGTACCGTATCATAATTCGATCCACGCTGCAGACGTCACTCAATCTACTCATGTTCTACTCTCAGTTCCTGCTCTCGACGTAAGTTTTGGTTTCATTCTTAGGCTCGGAGGATAGATTCTCAAAATATTAATCTGAATTCATTAAGAAACAAAAATGAAAATAAATACGCAAGAATTAGACTTGTACGGTTTTCAGTTGTAGGCATTGGCCTTGTTCAGTAAGTTCACCTTCTTTGCTCATTGAATTTAAGTCCAATTTTGGAAAGTTACTGTCCTTTCTAATCTAAATGTCCTGATGAGGATTGTGTATCTGAAACATGTCGGCAGTATAAAATGATCTCTCAACCAATTAGCAACAATACAGAAACCTTATTAAATATTCAATATAGATTTACCATATTTTGTTTGTAATATTTCTATTGAGAAATTATAAGGAATGCAGTAATTTTTCTTGATTTATTGGCTCAGGTTTTCGCTAGGATCTAGGCAGCATGAGGCTATAAAAGCTGCTTTTTTTAAAATTATTGCTTGATCACTAAGCTTTGCTTGTTTTTGCTGGAAAATTTGTGGTAGCTTTGATATTTCTTGGCACTACTTTAGTACACATTGTGTGGGAAAAGGCTTGATATATTTTAGATTATGAATCTTTATTAAGTCTAAATAAATTTTGTTCAAGTTTTCTTATAGTAACATACATTGACAAAAGATAGTCATATTTCAAAATTGTAAATTGACGTCTTTTATGAAATTGTTTTGAAATGTTCCGAATCTTTAACTTTGTCTTATTCTTTATTGCAGAATGTTTTTACTGATTTAGAAATTTTGGCGGCAATATTTGCGTCTGCTATACATGATGTTGATCATCCTGGTTTAACCAATCAGTATCTTGTAGCTTCAGGTAAGTTTAGAGCGCCATCTATTATTTCGTTATATAAAAGGGAGATAGCATATTGAGTGATATGACAAGGAGCAAGTAAATTTGATTTAAAATCTAATAACATTATGATCTTTATGTTTTTTTAATGCTTGATTTTAAATGTTGTTTTTAAAATTTTCAGGTTCTGAATTAGCGTTGATGTATAACGACGAATCTGTGTTAGAAAATCATCATTTAGCAGTGGCATTTAAACTTTTACAAGAAGAAAATTGTGATATTTTTGCAAATTTGGGTAAAAAACAGCGACAGACATTAAGAAAGATGGTAATTGATATGGTGTTAGCAACAGATATGTCGAAACACATGACGTTACTTGCCGATTTAAAGACGATGGTAGAGACAAAGAAAGTTGCTGGTTCAGGTGTTTTATTGTTAGATAACTATACAGATAGAATACAGGTTCGTCTTGCTTTTCATTGGTTGATATTTATATTGCGGACCAGTCTTTTGTGCTTTTGCTACTTTGTATTGAGGCTGTACAACTATTTGTCTGGCCTTTTCATTGGCTGGTATTTAAATTGGGCAAAGATCATTGGTTACATTTTATTTGGCAATATTGAATTTGATTGGTTAATATTTTTACATGGCTATCAGTGATTGGATCATTCCCTATTTTTGACTTTATTATAAATATGGTTACATTTTATAGATTAATGTACATATTTTTTTTTCAACGAAGACAATTTATCCACCATTTTCCCTGTGTAACTAGTAAATTGTTGCCCCATGTTTATAATCTGTTTTGTTCTTTCAGGTTTTACAAAATATGGTACATTGTTCAGATTTGAGTAACCCCACAAAACCATTAGAATTATATAAAATATGGGTGGACAGGATTATGAACGAGTTTTTTGAACAGGGTGATGCAGAACGTACTCGTGGGTTAGATATTAGTCCTATGTGTGACAGACAAACGGCTACAATTGAAAAATCTCAGGTATGCATTGACTTAATTTCATTGTTTTCATTGGTTAAAAATGACATTTTCTCTCGAAAGTGGCTAAAGACTCGCAACTGACTGAGTTATTGATAAAGCTATTTGAATAAAGTGAACCACTGTCACTGCTATATTATTAAGAGGGGCATTGTTTAAAAGATGATGCTATTTCTGTATGTAGAAAAAAATAAATATTTTCTGACTTCAGAAATTGTATTCAATATATCACTTTGTATTTGATATTTTCCTTTCATATGTTTGAAAATTACATTTTGTGTTTATCTTTTTTTTGCAGGTTGGTTTTATAGACTATATTGTTCACCCGTTATGGGAGACGTGGGCCGACTTAGTTTACCCTGATGCTCAAGACATACTCGATACATTAGAGGACAATCGTGATTGGTATCAAAGTATGATCCCCGTCAGTCCCTCGTCAAGTTTCTGTCGGAGTAGCGGAGAAATCGGAGAGGACAAAGAAGAAGAAACGAAATTTCAGTTCCCCATGGAAGATGAGAAAGAGGGAGATTCTGGTGACTCATTAGTGATTCGCGTAACGGATAGTCAAAAGTCGGGACAGGAATCGAAAGGTTCAAAAGATAATCGGCATTTGGATAAGAAATGAGATGGGTGTAAACTTATGTTATTCTCTTAGCAACAAGAGATGTATCATGTCATCATATCGCCACGGTAACAATTGTCATCAGACACCAGAGGATGCTGGGAAAAAGAAAATGGCGATGTGATATGAATTGTGGGATCTCAGGAAGTTATAAGATAATTTACAATCTTTTTCACGGCCAAAACAGTGACGGCAAAATATCTAGGTAACTCTTGACGTTTTGTGTTCCTTGTATCCTAGCAATGAGTACCTACTTCCTGTTCCCATTAAGATGCATTATGGGACAACAATGTGATCATTATGAAACTCTGTGCTGTGCTCCCTGAATGAGAAACTTTATAGGAGAGATTGGAATGACAAGAGCTGATTTCATTGGTTAGTTTGAATTTTTACTGACCAATCGTATTGTTTCAGCTTAATTTAAATTATCTGTGGTAAATTGTTTCTTTTTTCAACTTAACTGTGATATTGTGTTTATCAGTTAGTTGAAATTTTAATTAATTAAATTGTTAATGAACTTTTTTTAATTAGAGACTGAAGTAGATTTAACGTTGATTAACTCAAATGTTTACAGAATACGGAATTTTTTTTCAGTTAATTTGATATTGTGTTTATTTAGAAATCATCTTAATTCTAACTTTTGAAAAGAAAATTTTACATTTGTGCGGTGTCATTCCATTATTAATTGTTGAGCGAATGTATGTGTAAAATTATGCGTGTGCATGCATGAAAATTACTTAATTGAGAGAAAGAATGTATGATAGGTTTAGCATCTTGTTTTGTTTTTGTTAATTTATTTATTAATTCATCATCTGATGAAACCTTATCATTATTATTAATAACGAAAAAAATTTGTTCAAGTTTTTAAAATTAATTCATGTTTGTATTTAATTTGTCGGAAAAAAATCTGTCGTTTTAGAAATTTGACCAATTTAACAGATCTTCGAAAAAGGTATCTGCCTTAGACATGTTTCTTTAGTAGTAAAAAAAGATTTTGGCAAATTTTATTTAGAGTTTAAATCAATATTTTTTTCAAAAGTCAAAAAAGAGCCAAGATTTGGTCCAATATTTAATATATTTGAATGACTGTAGCTCGCAATCAGAATAGAAATTCTTTATAATTTAGCTACAAAATTAAGGGAAGCAAAATTAAAGAAATTTTAAACTATAGAGAAGTATTACAGAGAAGATCTGGTTGTTTGGTCAAATTTTTTTTAACGGCAGTCGATTTTTTGATGTCTTAGTTTCTGACAGGAATGTTAATGGTTTTACTCCCCCTCCCCTCCCCCCATTCTCTGGATTAACTCCTCTTTCTCCCACCCTGCCTCCTCTAACTTACTTTCGTATTGACTGTGATATTGTAGAAAACCTCATTGACGAGTCAAAAATACTCAAGTTAGGGTCTTATCAGGGTTGTCAATCAATCTAAAATTTTCATGAAAAGTAGGTCACAGGTATTTATGCACATGCAGGGACAGACTGGTTTGCTAAATACAGACTTTTCTTCATATAAAACCCTAGTAAAGTCCCAATTGTGAATAATGATATGAAATTGACTTAAAATTGGTAAATTAACCCAAAACATTTATTTTCATAATTTTGGTGAAAAAAGTGTATCTTGCACTCCTTAGTGTTCAAAAGATTTGGAAAAACAGGATCCATAAATATAGTCAATTTGACAACCCTGTTTTTTATAGAAAAGTTACTGCCAAAATGTAGCATGAATTTAAATTTGTACCTATTTAAAATTGATCTCTTACTACAGATTAAGAGTTCATGAATTGTTTGGTTTAAGTGACATCATTATATTTGAACTGTGTTGCTTTGTAATCCAGTCTTAAGTCTTGAATATTAAGGAGTTTTTCTCCATTTTTTGTACTGGAAACAGAAATTTTGGATCTTCCTTAGCAACATCGTTCAAAATAGTGTCTACAAAAACTACTGAAATTTCATTTCTAAAATTTAAATCAAGTCTAGTCTATCATAAGCCTTTTTTCTTTAATTTTCTTCTATTTTAGTAGCCATGAACATTGCAAAAATACAACTTTCAGGAATAATGAAACTTGTATATTAGGTGCTGTAAAACTCTATCAGTTCTTAAAATAGACTGGCAACACTTAGCCTTCTGACTGGCTTTGTCTTCGAGAAGAACCGGTGTCAAACATGGCTTCACGAGGACATTTTGTCATAGTTTGACAGAGCGTGGCCACAAAGTATTTACCAAAACCACCGGCTCCTTATGAGAAACTTACTCCAAATAGTAAATCTGATACTGATAATACTTTCAGAATTCCGGAACCCTGATTATCATGCTATTTTCCGAGTACAAGTTCCATACTTTGAAAATATCAAAATATATTTGGAGGTGGCTGTCAAGATTCTGGTTGTTGCCATTCTATAAAACTGTCTGTAAAACTGAGTTCTAAAATCATCTTACACCCTAGCCTGTAGAAATTCTGTTAAAACCATGTTACAAGAATAAAATTCTTATAAATCCTTAGTTTTTTTTATCTTTTTTTATTTAAGGTTGTATTTGCATAATAGCCAGTAGAGCTTAATTTTAGCTGTCTGTATCCAATTCCATTGGATGACTGCTAAAATTAAGCCTTTTTCAGCAGCTGAAGTGACTCCCAAAGGCCATTGTAAATGGAGCTAGAAGGGACGGGGGACTAAAATTTATCACATTTCAGCAGCTAAAAGAGGCTTATTGGACGACAGTATAACAGCTAAAAACTCAAAGGGGACCTGAAATTAAGCTTTCGTCAGCAGCTAAAAAAGAATCAGCTGTTGACAGCTAAAAATTTAGCTATTAGGGGACACATAGTGAGAAATTAAGCTTTATTCAGCAGCTGAAAGAGAATCAGCTGTTTACAGCTAAAAATCAAGCTTTTTCACACGCTTTAAGGGGACACAGCTAAAAATTAAGCTCATTTTAGCAGCTAAAAATGAATCTGCTGTTAACAGCTAAAAATTAAGCTTTTTCACAAGCTTTTAGGGGGACATGTTGAGAGAAATTAAGCTTTTTTCAGCAGCTAAAATAATCAGCCGATAACAGCTAAAAATAAACCTCTTTAACGCGCTTTAAGAGGACACAGCTAAATATTAAGCTCATTTCAGCAGCTAAAAATGAATCTGCTGTTAACAGCTAAAAATTGAGCTTTTTCACAAGCTTTTAGGTGGACACTTTGAGAGAAATTAAGCTTTTTTCAGCAGCTAAAAGAGAATCAGCTGATAACAGCTTAATATCAACCTTTTTCACACGCTTTAAGGGGACACAGCTAAATATTAAGCTCATTTCAGCAGCTAAAAAATGAATCTGCTGTTAACAGCTAAAAATTGAGCTTTTTCACAAGCTTTTAGGGGGAAACTTTGAGAGAAATTAAGCTTTTTTCAGCAGCTAAAAGAGAATCAGCTGATAACAGCTAAAAATCAACCTTTTTCACACACAGCTAAATATTAAGCTCATTTCAGCAGCTAAAAATGACCATCAGGGCAAGAGAAGATGGAGCTTAACTTAGCCACTTTCAGCAGCTAAAAGGGATGCATTGGAAGACCTATGGAGTGCTAAAATTAATCTTTTTTCCGCAGCTAAAATGGAATCCTTAGGAAACCTGTTAGCAGCTGAAAATTAAGCTTTTTTCACAAGCTTAAAGGCTGAACAACCCTTCAGCTGCTAACAGCGACTTGGTGACATTCATGTATACTTTGGCACCCATTTCAACGATGACAATTACAACACGATATATTTAACTAGTTTAATAGGACAGAAGATTAGGTAAGCATCCTACAATAGACAAGGTTTTAAGTGAAAGGAAAAGATAACATCATTATTGAAAGGCAAATAAAACACATTACCTAGAGAAAAACAGAATGTATGATTACAGTTTAACAAAGTTAAGCATTAACATGCTGAATCTTTTTGACTCTTTCCAAGTTCTGCAATGGCACAAGTAGAAGCTTACAAACTGCCACTAAATTCAATAAAAATGCAGATCTGGTTATTTCAATTTGTGTTTTTTTCTGCAGGTGACTCAAACCACTATCCTTGGTCTTAAGAGATCATTCTCTACATTATGTTTAACATCCAGATTTGCAGTTTTATCAGATGTCATTCCACAATAAAACAGTTGGAAATAAGAAAAGAGCAGGCTTATGCTGCCGTCCTGGCAAAATTGCCTCCATTGCACACTACATGGCATAGCCCATCTTCATTAGTCCAGTTAGGTGCAGAAAAGTAGGACATAACTTCATTTCTACAATGAAGAGAAGGCATGTAAACTGGCAATGAAGGGAAACAACTCTGTTCTTTTGAGAAGTCATCATTACTAGTAACTTCAAATATTGATTCAAACTGTGTCAATTATTTACTTATAAATAAATGATATAATATAAGAAGAGCACAAGCAATGCTCAGCCTTCTGGAACACCTGATGCACCTCAGACTTAAATTTTAACTTCTCCGAAATGCAGGCCTCAAGTTCAGATATTGGATCTAAGTGGTCTATAAAGCTGAGCAAGCCCATCATAGATAGAAACTTTTCAAAATAAACACAGTAACATAAAATTCAAATTAAGACTAAAACCTTGTTTAGAATCTTAAAATGAAGTAAGTATACAATATAATTAAGGATATCTAATCAAATTGACATGATTGCAGTTTTCATTGGAATAAAAACTGAAGTGTAAGAGAGAGTACCAAACAGATTTTCCATCTTAACAGGGAGATAAGAATTAAATTCACATCCTTTTCTGTTCTTGCTTACACAATACTGGCAATAGTGTTCAAATTATCAATCCAGTACCTCCTCAGGCATTTTCCAAATACGTCAATGCGTCTTATCAGAATAATAAATAAACTTTGCCAAGCTAACAAGAATGTGAGGCCAGGAACTTACACTGAGTCCAAGATGGAATATCTATGATATACATTCACCTTATAGCATACTTACAAAATTGTTCTATGTAATACATTTTGAGCAGAACAGAAATGGAACAAAAAAAAAAAAAAAAAAACAGAAGATAGAATGATGGCCTTGACCCTAACCTTGATACGAAATCTTCAAATTAAAAAAAATAAAAATATCTATCAAAAAAATTAACGCTATCTCACAAATCGCGTAACCTGCCGTCGAAAAGAAAAAATAACAAGAGCGATAAAATTTATAACAATAACAACATTCTGACGCGATAAAAAATGTCACGCGATTAAAATCTTTATTTAGCAAATCTTCCGCAACTATCACTATGTCACAAAACGCGAGTCAATCAGATCTGTCTTCTTCAACGCAACGCAATTCCTATAAAACTTATATACACGTATCAACGCATTTACATTTTTATATACACCAGCCAACATGTTGACGCAAACGCGAAATTCATTTCATAAAAAAATAAAATTGAGAAAAAATATACATCAAATATCACACGCGAAAAACAGCAGAAAAACCCGCGAATATCACCCGAGAGGTCAAGGCTGAAGCTCAAGTTCATCATTCTATCTCTGCCATGGAAATAAGTATCACAATTTCAGTAGAAGATTGCAAAATTTTCCATTAATCTTTCAACAGCAGCAAAGGAGAATTTCACAAGAATTCCTCAAAATTAATCGCCTTTTAACATTTTTCACTCAATTTTGATGGCCAAACAAACAGCACTCATACAGTCTGTTATTATTTAGTTTAGACATCCTCAACCATCTACATCAAATACTTAGATGAATATCATCCATGTTGAGTGATAGGAATTCTAATGCAGACATATTTTGGACACACTGATAAAGGATAAAAAATGTGCTTGACTTTCAAAATTTGACATAAAGTGCCATAAATATCTAGATGACAAGACATAGCTACGTGTAAATAATTTAGTACAGGGTTTGTTGCCGTCCAATGAAAAACATTTAAAATTCAAACCATCCAATAAAATTGTGGGAAAATGACAGACGGAAACGCTACAAAATTAACTCACAATTAGATATTGGCATTTCTATAAGCTAATCAATTTGAAAGCTAAAAGCAAATCAAAAGCCATTTTGGAAAAATGAAAACCACTTGGTTTTTAGCTTACAGAATTGGATGATGTATTTACGATGAATAGGCTTCATGCTAAGTAAGTAGTAAGTGGACACAACTTTCACGTAACTGACCGATACATTTCAACATGCAACGTAACCATGGAGATGTCTGATATCTAGTTGCTATAGTAACATCTATGACATCACATCCTACAGGTCGTTAATCTTCAATAAAAATGCTGGAATTCTACGATAGGTGTTAAATACAGACAACGATAGTTTAAAAATACTCGAAAAGTTCTAAAATAGGACATGCAATGTTGGTATCTACCAATCTGTATTCGTGTCACAGATTTAACGATAAAACACGCGACAACGCGACGATTATCCCTACCCATTCGCGACCCACCCGAACTAAGAATGCCCCGGTTCCCATGCCGCAGGTCTACTGGTCTTCTGGTTGTGGTGTTGGATGTGACCAGGCTCTGTTTGGACCCCTTGTGGAGTCGGCCCTCCCTCGCCAACCCTTACGCGGACCCTAAGATACTCAACGCGATAGAGCACCTTCCCGATTTATTTCCCCGATCTGAAAAGAGAAAAAAGCAAGAGTCTTTAGAACCAAGATTTCACTGCTATAAATCTGTCAGAACCAGTGCGATAATGAAGATATTTTGATGATAAAAAACTTCAAACGCTGCGACGGATTCTATTTTTATCTCAGCACAATTTTAGTACCAAATAACTACAGAGTTATCCAGCCTGCGTATGTGCACTTTCATTTTTGGTTGACATTTTTCATTGAAGTCTGTTTTGACGTCGCATTAAGGCAAGTGCAAGCCAAAGAGAGAAGCTAGAAGAACATCTAGCATCACAATCTGGGACTGCTACAACAATTACCAAGCAATTCTACTCTCCATGCAGACTTGACACTTTACATTTAGAAGGCACAGAGCCACAGAGCCATTCAATAGGAAATGTGAAAAATTTAGGACAGCACCAGCTTCCTTCCCTTTGCTTTTGCTTTATTCATTGGTTGAAAATGAGAGTTTCTGACCAATGAGATGACTGTACTTACTGTGGAAGTGGAAATTCAGACTTGGTAATTGACTGCGAGACGTTCTCGTAGAGCCTGAGGGAATTGATCTGAGAATTTACCCCAGTTCTCATCTCCTACTTGATTCTTGAAACCATGTAGAATCTGAAAAGTAGGTTAAAAACATGAAAATTTTAACTGCAAAGGAAGTTAACGTACAGTCTGTAGCACACAGGGCCACAGTTTATTATCCCATCTGATTTAATTTTTGGAAGAATCCTCCATTCCTTGAAATCTAACTATTGTCAAACAGTGTACAATGAGGGAAATTGAGAGATCAGACAGTAGGAAGGTTGGTTTCATAAAAAATCAACAAGTTTAGGATGCTGATAGATTGTCATCATTTCTCTTTAAGCCTCGTCAACAAGTTTGAAATAAACTTAGAAATAATAATTGACTAACAAACCTTGTAGAACATGTCGCGAAGGTCTTGTTTAGGATGAACCCAGGAAGCTACGGCATCGCAGAAAAATATAAAATCTTGAACAACGCCACCTGGATTAGCACTAATCATTAGACAAACTCCCCGGAATGCAGAATCCTTTTCCTCGTTGTCTCTGATGTTACGTAGCGATGTACACCTGAAATTCATAACAATACTTTTAAACGTACAAGATTTTACAACATTTACTTTATAATAATTATTTAAAAATTCGATGAACAAGACGGAATCTCTGAAAGGGATGTTAACTTTCTGAAAAAAATCCAGATGTCAAACCCAAACAATCAAACATAAACAGCATTTATATTCCCAGAAATGTATTTCGAATCCTATTAGTAAATTTTAGCCATGAGGACTTTTAAAAAGATTTGTCATGTTTAATCCCAATGTCTTAATAAACATAATTTGGGATTGATATTCAAGGGAAGCAACCCAGGTTTAATCAAGAGATCAGACAGTAGGAAGGTTGGTTTCATTTTAAATCAACAAGTTTAGGATGCTGATAGTTTGTCATCATTTCTCTTTCAAACCAGACTGGTATTTCACAGGGTGCAGGCACAAGAAGTCTTGGTCGCTGATATTTATCGCCAACTCGAATCTTGAGTAAAATCTCTTCTAAGATTATTGCAATGCTAACAGGATTTTTAATATCAAACCAGATTGATATTTGTCTCCGATTGTTTTATTGTCTGCCGAAATTCATGTCAAGACTCTAGTCGGCGACAAAACACAGCGATAAGACCGTTAGTACACCTGCACCTTAAGGAGCTTAAATGTTCTTGTACATTGAAACTTTCTGTAGATTTTTACAAACATTTAGCACGTCTGGACATTTCTCAAAAATATCAAGATAAACAATTTGTTGAAAGTTGATATTTCTCAATACAAAATTCTACACTTACTAATTCTTATGGTAAGATTTTTGAAAACGGGACCCAGACATTTGACTTTCTCTTGTTAAGCTTATGTTAAGTACATTAATTTAGATACAAAATCTAACAGTTTTACTACATATTACTAAACGCTACTCTACTATAAAACAAAATAATGCTTTTAGATAGAGTTTAAACGCACAAACAATTTGAAGCCAAACATTAACCCATCACCAAATTAATGAATTGAAAAATGAAAAAAAAATGAAAAATTAAAATCGTACGGACCATAGACGTATAAACTGTTGTAACAAAGGAGCCACTTCCGCGGGACATACTAAACCAATCCGTCCAATCGTAATGGCTATTCACCCATCGTCATGACAACACCAAAATGGAACGTTACCGAAAGGAAGAAATAAGAAAAGACAAAAAAATCAACGAAGTGACAAACAATTGAGTTTATAAAATATAAATAAAGCATTGCTAGCAAGGAGTCGTAAATTATCAGAAATAAGTTTTCCCACAAGCCCACACAGCACAATATCTTACATTTATGCATGAAAAAATGAATTTTGTGGCATTTTTTAATAATTTTGCTTGATGCATGGGACCCTCATTTTGTATTCAGCCTATTCTTGGGTTTCAAAACAAGACAAATGAAAAATCTAAAGGTGCCCTTCACATCAAAGCGATTACCAGTTGCGTATGGGTTAAAAATTAAAATCATGGTAACTGGTGATCGCTATAATGAGAGAGCCACATAAAACATTCCACCCTCAAGAGAGCAAGTGTTACCACGGTTTCCAACAAGAAATAGAAAACGTAAATGTATATAGTACATCAATATAGCAGTACAACATATAAACAGACATGTTATCAATTCAATTTCTGTCTTGGCATGGATTCGGAATTACCCATCATCCCTTTTTCCTAAAAGCTGTTCAGACATTTCTGTCATAGAGGGTTTAAAAATAGGTATTCTAGTCCTTGTTTATATACAAGGATGCAACATTCTGATTTCTTGCTAGTTGTCTACTCTTTGTCAACTTGACTGAATGATAATGATGCTTTTAGTCTTCTCAATACATAGAATGATTTGCTTTGTAGAGTCCACGGGCAAGATGTTTTACTCAGATTTAACCATGTGCACAATCCAACAGCCTTGACATACATTTACACCCGAAATGATACATGCATCCATTGAATACAAACTATAATATAAGATGTTTCAACCAAGTTACACAATCCGTGTAAACTTTTAAAGAAAGGAAAGAATGTAAAACAGTTAAAAACTCTACCTGTATTTTCGAGCAGTGTTTTGGGTGTATTAGGTCTGTTGATGATATCTATTAGAGGGTTGATCACTAACTTCACGTACGGCTCCATATCAGCTCCTAAAAAAATATTTATTGAATTTCAACATCACATATCAGTACCGTGTTTCACTGTATCAGGCAAACTAAGACTAAGATAATATTTGTCATGCTTTATGATCTTTATATTTCTATATCTTTTGATAAAGGGCACTTACCCATTTTGAGAGATATTTCGCCAATGGCCCAGGTAGCGTTATTACAAACAGAAATAAATTCTGGGTTTAAATTGGCTCCTAAGATCGGCATAAAATCACCTATAATAGAATAAAGTGTTTTAAATCATAAAAATATTACTTTTACCTTTTAACAGTTTATAGTATATCTCATGACCTTGAATAAATCATATTCACTCATAATTCCAGTCCACCCAGCTGTAAATGGGTGCGGATAATCAATGCCAAGAGGTTTGGCCAAGGACCAGCTGGTAAAAAGGATCCTTTACAGTGAACTTAAGTTGTTACCCTTGTAAAATATAGTTTGTTTCTTTTGAAATTTATGCCTCTGATGGCTTCAGTTAGAACAAGAAGTAAAATGAGATTGTGTTTATAAAATGAGTTTTTGGCTAGCTTGGCAACAAAACCATGTACAATGAAGGAAAGTACGAGTCAACAAGACTTGAACTTACCTATACAAGCCTTGACATGTTGAAAACAAGCCTTCGTTAAATCTCCTAGCAACGCAAACGAACTCTGACGAACCTCTGGCATCATGTCCTGAAAACAACATCCTCAAAATTAATACAATTCTTTTTTTAGGTCTTTTTTTTCCCAATGTTACAACATTTTCTCAACAATCTGTCAGAACCAGTGCGATAATGAAGATATTTTGATGATAAAAAACTTCAAACGCTGCGACGGATTCTTTTTTTATCTCGGCACAATATTAGTACCAAATAACTACAGAGTTATCCAGCCTGCGTATGTGCCGTTTCCATTTTAGTCGGTTTTTACCTGAATTATTACAATCAAATTCCCTCCATACTCAATAGCTTCAAGTCCTTTGAGACAAAGACAAAATATTTCCCCCAACTATGGAATTTGACAAGTTTACAAACCTAATGCATCAAGTATTTTTATAAGTTAAGTTTTTAAGAAAATTGGCCCCGAAAACTTGCGACTCAAAAACAAATTTTATTAATTCAACCCACCTGCATGCACTGAAAGAGTAATTTGAGTATGGCGCTATTAGCTACCAGACCTTCAATATTTCCTTCTAATCCTTCTGCTAGTCCACTCAGTAGATCTAACGCTACTATCATAAAATCTTTATCAGGGGGGTCATACTGCTCTGGTTGCTGAAGGTTAGCCTGAAATTATATGGAAGTCAAAAATCATTCTTATTTCAAAATTACTAGAAGAGGTTTGGCATTCTGCGTAATTATACCAGAAATAGAAAGAAACCATCTATTTATGACTATGAAAACAAGTTAGGATTATGAGAACCCTGTTAACCTCTGGTCCTTGATCTTTCCTGGATTATCCATACCTATTTATAGTTGGTTTGACTTGAATAATAAAGAAAGATGACTTATTCAAGTCACCAGAGACCGAGAAGATTGAGATTTCTTTTTAAAAGACTATTCTCTTTGTGGGATTGATGCCAGGACATCCTGCAGTGTACAATGAGGGAAATTGAGATCAGACAGTAGGAAGGTTGGTTTCATCTTAAATCAAAAAGTTTAGGATGCTGATAGATTGTCATCATTTCTCTTACACTAAGTTCACTCATGTCGACTTTTCTACTGAACTGAATTTGAAATACAATCTACTCACATAATTTTGGTTTAATGTCTGTTCAACTAGGGAAACACATCGTCTGTAGACTGGTTCACAATATGGGAGAAATCCTGACTGGAGAGCTGTGGCTACGCTTGATAAACACTGAAAATAACAAATCATAGTAACTAAAATAAGAACCTGACCTGCTTTCTCATCTAATCAGCATTGGATAAATTATTTAAAGTGAAAATTTATCTCGTTAGAAATCTCCGATCAAGTGATGACGGATGGCTAGAATTGGTTCCAAGTAGGGAAGTTACTTTGCTTCCCCGGAGAACTTAACCACAAAAATTTTACTCAATGTGAATTAGAAACTCATTTTCCTTGGGAGATTCCTGCAGAACAGAAGTATTCAGTCAAAAACTTTTTTGAGAATTTGTGCTCCAGCAGTATACACAATGTGTTGACTCAACTGAAAATGCGATGTCTACAGCTATCAAAGATATTGGCAAAATTCAAACTGAGGCCATTAGTCTTTAAAATCTGTCAGAACCAGTGCGATAATGAAGATATTTTGATGATAAAAAACTTCAAGCGCTGCGACGGATTCTATTTTTATCTCAGCACAATTTTAGTACCAAATAACTACAGAGTTATCCAGCCTGCGTATGTGCCGTGTTTTATGATGATAATATTGCAAATATAAAAAACATTTAATATTTTCTCTTTACAAAGCTGTCAGAACCAGTGCGAATCCAAAATTAGCCAAGATATTTCAAAAGTAGCCTTCGTATCATATATGAACAGTGTTTTCCACAAAAATTCCAAGTGAAATATAAGATCTTAAATCAAACAATGTGCAGCGCAATTTTCTGGTTGAAATTAGCAATTTTTTAGTATGAAATCATTAATTTTTGTAGGGGGATCAATTTGCATGGATTTCTTGGGTAAGCCCATACATAAAGTTATATCCCATGGTAATATCTAACAGTAGTATTGTGAATTAAAGCAGGGATTATCATCAAAAATATTAAAATATTACAAACCTCTAGAAGGGGAAATAAATCTTTATCTTCATCTTTCAACATATTCCATTTATTAATCAACGGTGGCATCAACATCTTCACATATTCCTGTAAATACACACAGGAATTACATTTTACATCCTGCTTTGATGCCTAGGATTGGACACAGATGGCCGACAGAATTAAGCATTCAAACAAAATAGTCTTTTCAGCTTCAGTTTGGTCAAATATCGATGACATGTAACGCTGAAATGAGTTTTCTCTCCTATTTTTAGGTCTTAGATTTGGCAAACAGCAATATTAATGACTACACAAGCCACAAATGAAAGTCTTTATATAATTCTATGCCTTGCAATCGCAACACAAATGAAAAAAAAATTGAGATGTTAAGAGGTTCAGCTAAAAAGTTGGTAGAAGGGATCCATGACAACTTATCTTAGTAAATTATGGTTTCTTTTTCGATCAATTTTATGAAATCTGTCAGAACCAGTGTGATAATGAAGATATTTTGATGATAAAAAACTTCAAACGCTGCGACGGATTCTATTTTTATCTCAGCACAATATTAGTACCAAATAACTACAGAGTTATCCAGCCTGCGTATGTGCCGTGTTTTAACAAGTTTAAAATATATAGTGAAACCTTCAAAATGTTCAGCTGTACTTTTCAACTTTGTTAAAATTCATGAAAGGTAGCCTTATCGGTCTTATCTGGAGTTTTAAAAACATTAAATGTTAACGGAATAAAGTCATATACCCTGAACTCCCATGTAATAGGATTTAAGGAAAATGACGTGACATCACATAGTAACAACCACTAGGGTCTATATTATCATATTATTAAATGGCCAGTAGAGTTGCCGCTAGTGTTGAAAGGGTGATAATACAGGTCTGTTTCTCAGATCAAGTCTGTCGTTCAGATTTTATTTTTATCAGAGTTGGATTGTTGTAAATCATCATTGAAACAGATCTATAACTTTTATTGAAAATATATTCAGGATTGATATTCGATTTAAAACTATAAAAATAATAAGGTAGTACAATATAAAGAACTGATTGATTTTGAAAATTTTAAGTGATCAAAGATCTTTTCTACCAGCTGGTCCATGGTCAAACCTCTTTGTAACTTAAATTCAGAAGGATCCTTCCCATTAGCTGGTCCTTGGCTAAACAAAGCCTCTTGGAATTGATCTTTCCCAGATTATATGTACCCATTTACAGCTGGGTTGACTGGTATAATGAGGAAAGATGACTAACCCAGAGTAACCAGACTTTCACACAATCGACCTAGATTAGAACCCATGATCATCATTTGTTCAACATAACCAAACAAGTGATGTTATGTAAAGATACCAACACTCTGACTGCGCTACAACCAGTCCTCATTGAAATTTCTTACAGTCCTGGATACATGTATCAAAATAATGAACTTTTATATTGCGGACATAAGCAGTCTTTTTTAGTGATAATACAGGTCTGTTTCTCAGATCAAGTCTGTCGTTCAGATTTAATTTTTTTATCAGAGTTGGATTGTTGTAAATCATCATAGAAACAGACCTCAATAATCATAAATTCTTTGGTCAAATAAACTACTGCCTGAAAGGTAACTATTAAGTTTCATGGTAATCGGGTGAAAACTAAGGCTACAACGTTTCCATATCAAATATCACAGATGTTAATTAACATAACAAGAGGTCCTTCCCTTTTGCCATTGCTCCAATAGAACAACAAGACCTATACATATCTATGCTACAGAATTCATCCAAAAGTCAACAAAAAATTTAACAAAATCTGCAAGATAAAAACTAGTGCAACATCATAAATACTGTCAGAAGTGTCAGCTGTAAGTAGGTTTTGTTCTATCAAGATTTCTCTATGTATGAGAACAGTTCACCTAAAGATAACATGAATTAAAGATCTGCTATGTCTCGTCTTCATGGTCAGTAAATGAAAATCTTATCCCCCCTTTCAACTGATATCCTAGTTTTATTGTCCGCCTTGTCACACGCACCAGGGCAGACATGTCTTCAGGGTTGTACAACATACTATCAGAATCAATGCTATATGAAGATACCAAGCTGAACATCTTCAAGTACACTGATTCTGTTTTATTCTGTGCACCATTCTACCACTAGGAGACTAAATAGTCAATTAGCCGGCTTAATTAGTGCAGTTTAAACTTTCTTTAATTAGCAAAACTGTTTCACATAAATTTAAAGCCGTTTTATGGTAGCATTGTGGTCTGTATTTAGCTCCAAGAATTACTTCTTGAGAAACCATTACCTGCCTGTTGTATATGTGAATAGAGCACCTTTCAAAATTTTGCAAAAATTCCCCAAATATAATGAATTTTCTTACCTCTTTATTTAAATGGTGTCCAACTGAATCCGCCAAAGTTCCGATAGCATCGTACAATATTAACAGATTCTTATGCTGAAAAAATATCAACAAATTTCATAGAGGAGGTGAAGGCTGAGCATGTTTCCACAGTTTTATAAAAGGTCAAGCAGTGTGCAATGAGGGAAATGAGATCAGACAGTAGGAAGGTTGGTTTCATTTTAAATCAACAAGTTTAGGATGCTGATAGGTTGTCATCATTTCTCTTTGTCCAATCATCCTTTTTCCAATCAAATTACCAGGTACAATAAAGAAAGTAATATCTGATAACTTACCTGATATTTGCCGAAAGCGTAGACCAGGGTCTCTAAGATAAAAGATAGATATGGTACTAGTTCGGTACAGGCCTCTTCCTCTAGGGTAGCGAACGCCGAGCACGCAGCCTCCTGGACTCTTTTATTACTGTCCAACACTCTCTTTAATAACTGAAATATAACAAAATAAAAACAGTCAAATTTTCAATTTAATCAAATTACTTTTTATAAAAAATTGGACTGCTTTAAGAGATTTTGATATTCTGTTTTTAAGATAAAATAGTAATCAGGAATTCCTAGAGAACTAAAGTTTTAATCTTAAATGATAGGCCTCAAATCAGCTACTCTTGTTGGTTCCCAAACATTTAACAACCAAGGGAGAGAACTGTAAATAAGACACAGCCGGAGAATATCATTTATCAGCAAATGACTTGATAATCCTAGCATCATATTTACAGTTTTTCCACGAAAATAAATTCTAAAAATTTGTATCTGCATAATCAAAACAGGCCTACAGTGATGATGCAAAGAAGACAACCAAATCTTGGCATTAGGATTTGAAAATGGGAAAGGGCATCTTGGAATTTGCAACTATTGGCGTGTAAATGAAGGAATCCCTTTTAAATGGAAGAGTCAGTCAGCCGGAGGTTGTCATTTATAAATTAAATGGTATCTAGCTTTTTAATCATCATCCTCTTCATTTTAACTCCTTGAGAAGAATAGATAAGGTAGGGTGTACCTCAGAGATCGTCAATAAAATATAATATAGTTTGCAAGGCCACGTATTCACCAAACAATCGTAGCACTAGGATATCCTCCAAACATTGTCAGAAGTTAGGACATCCTAGAGCTAAGATTGTTTTAAGCCCAAATAGCCAGGTTTTTTAAGAAAGGTGAAGAGTCAGTCAGCCGGAGGTTGTCATTTATAAATTAAATGGTATCTAGCTTTTTAATCATCATTCTCTTCTTTATTCCCGATAAATCCCACTCTGGGAGAAAATCTTTTTTCAGGATTTAATAAAAATATGCACACTCCATTATTATTATTGGTAAATTGATGAGGTAGGACTAAATGAGGTGTGGTGTCCAGTGCAGGGAAAGTTGATCAAATCAAAGCCAAATATATGTGTATTCACTTCTATTTTGTGTTGCACAGACAATCCTGGATATGCGTCTGCTTCTCATATTTTCTACTCTCTTGATAATTCCACACATAATGCCTTAACACTTTTCCAAGGTTTAAATAAAGCAAACGTCTTACCTCCGTCATCAGTGGTTTTAAGTATCTCTCATGAGGTTGACCTACGACCCAGTGAGCGTAACGACTCAATGTCCAGCATGTGATGGAACGAACTAACGCCTTTTTATCTGACAACCAATTGATGAGATATGGTACAAGTTCTGGAAGATGGGGCATCATTCCATTCATACATCCCTCGGCAATCGCTCCCAGCACCAGTATTCCCGACTCCCGTATTTCCCAGTCGTTACTGAATAACGTCTCCTTCAGGATTGGGAGGAGAAATGGTAAAATATCTTCATGGAACACATTGGCTAACACATCTAACGCTGCAGCTGAACATTTTCCTGATAAAAAATTGAATTCAAAATTAATTAAAACTTTTAAGAAATGAAATGAATTGGCGTAAAAGACATCGGATTGTCCAATCACTAAAATTGATTTCATATTAAGCTGCAGTATATCCAATCAGATTATTAAGTTTCTTAAAAGCTGGAGTGATCTTTGTAGAGTTTTGGAGAAAAAAACCCTGAATTTTGTTATATCTAGGGTTACATTTTGAGAATAAAGCTTTTAATTCATAAAGCAATTGTCCAAAAATGATCGTAAGTCGAAAAATAAACTTACTGAGATTCCAATCTGATAAACTTTCATCATCATCATAACCCTCTTCTGATTCTCCATCCTGAAATACAATTTATATTTATAGAATAGGTCATCACGAATAGTTCAGATTTCATTCTATGATATATTATAACTTTCCAAAAAGCGAAAAACAATATTTAAGGGCCTTTACAAAAGTTATGTCATAACTTGTTTAGTTTTCGTTGAATTGCAAGTTCAGAAATTTGACTGTAACTTGAATGGTTCAATACATCTTTACAATCTCTTGAAAAAATATCATTCTTACCTCCTCAGCATTATCTTCTGCTCGTTTCTGATTGTGTGTTTTAGATTTATGAAATCGTGGTTTAATGTCGGATTCATTATCAGGAATCATTTCATCCTCTTCTACGTCACCCTGAAAAAAAAAACGACAGAAACATTGTCATTCAAACACATTTTAGTCAATATTTGTGGGAAGTGAAGGTTAGATTCCCCAAATTTTTCCAGGTCTGGGACATCGAACGCCAATAACAAGGCAGGTAACTGTAAATCAGACACAGCCGGAGAATATCATTTATCAACAAATGACTTGACAATCCTATCATCATATTTACAGTTTAAATTTTGAGAACAGACTGCCTATTCTCCATCTTAGCGATAGGATGTCATTGTGTCTTAATTTTTAACACTGTTTCCAGCATATTCTGGCGCTAAGATTGCTTTGAGAGTACATGGCCAGTTCATTTTCAATAAAGCTGAAATCTACCTTTACATCGCAGAAATCTACAAAAACAAAGACTACTCCAGGCACAAAGACAACTTATGGAATGACTAACTTTTGCAAGAAACCAATTACTTTTAGATAAACTCAATTTTTTTGGGGGAAAAAGTCACAATTACTATTTACCACTAACAAATGTTTGTTTTCTTTCTTACCTTGAGCAGTATGATATCAATCTCTGAATATTTCATTCCCTTTACAAGAATTGGAACTAATCTGGCAATATGACTGGACAGAACTTCTTTACATACAGCCTGTTCTGCTAGAGATAACCAGAATTCACACGCTTCCAATGCCACGCCGTCGTCGTTATCTTGTGTCCTTAGCAACATATACTGGAATAAGACATATATACCATTACTCTCAGAGTAAGTGTTAATGTGACGGACTTGAATTTTGAAGTTCACAAGAATTTGAATTTAAATGAAGAGTCAGTCAGCCGGAGGTTGTCATTTATAAATTAAATGGTATCTAGCTTTTTAATCATCATTCTCTTCATTTTTTGGGGGGGAAACTTCCTCTGGGGGAAATTCTTGGCAGTATTAGACAATAGAATTAGAAGTGGGCTAGTTCACTGTGAATCTAATGTTTTTTTTCAGGAATTTGTTCGAGATGGCAAGCTCTAGAAGAGGCAGAATGATAACTGTTAAAGTGTTTTGTTTGTCTTTGGCAAGCCTTTTATCAAACAAATATTTTTTTTAAAAAGTTTCAACATTACGTTTGACATTCCCTTACAAAAAGACCAAGATCTTTTACACCTTCAATTAAGTTCTAAAATAAGGTCCTGAAGAATCAAAGAGACTAACCTCTATAATGTTATTGATGTGTGGCATCAATCTGTCCATTCTGACTTCCACCAACATAACCAACGCTCGACAAACATTCTTACGCACTTCCGTGTCTTCATCACTCGCCAGAAAAAATAAATTCTGGAAAAAAAAATATTCAATAATTAACCATGCACATGACATGAGTTTTATACCATTCTTTTCTGTTACAGATTAGGCAATTGATGACAGGAAATGCCATATGGTGTGAATTTTAGGCATCTTATCTCCCTCAGCATATGAAAGACAATCCAGGAAAGATCAATGCCAAGAGGTTTGGCCGAGGACCAGTTGGTAGAAAGAATAGGTTGGTTGGTTGGTAGATGACAAGTTAACGTTCGCTACCACAACCAACCTATCCTTTCTAGGATAGGCATAAACCTAAGTCTTTATACCTGTAAAATATGGTTGTCTATTGTTTAATTCTAGGCCTCAAAAATTGGGTGTAACCTATAATGGCTTCAACACAAAGAATCAATATTACATTATATCAATTTGCTCTAAAATACCCACCTCTATAAAAGTATCAATATGGACCATCAAGGCCTGGGTTCGGCTGATAATAAACTGATTAACACACGCTATAGCATGGGATCTGAAGTACAGAGAATAGTCTTAACAGATTGCTCAATACTGTTCAATAAGTATGGATAACAATATACACGTGCACCTTAGTAGGCAAATTGGTGACAAGATTTAAAATACATCTCCAAAAACAATTGTCATTTAAAATTTTCTCTTTACAAAACTGTCAGAACCAGTGCGATAATGAAGATATTTTGATGATAAAAAACTTCAAACGCTGCGACGGATTCTATTTTCATCTCAGCACAATTATAGTACCAAATAACTACAGAGTTATTCAGCCTGCGTATGTGCCGTGTTTTATGACGATACTATTGCAAAGGGTCTTATACATTATTATTATCATTATGTGATGTCATATTTGTTAAAAAATTTAAAATAACTCTTACAATTCCTTGAAAATAGGGCATTGAACTTCATTATATTTCTAATTACCTGATTTTAGGACTTTGATGCCTAAAGAACTGTAGAAATTTCGGAATAAGAATATTTAATGGTCTGTTTACAGAATCATTGTCCAGACATTCAGCCGAATCCTCACAGATTTTCTGCAAGGCTCCAAAAGCTCCCTAAAATTACGACATATATCAACAATCTGAAAACATTTAGCTTATTAACTGAGATCTTAGAATTCCCAACCGGATATTTAAATATGTTGGAGATATCAGGAACTCATGAAAAATCTAGAAAATCCTGCACATTTGCATAAAATAAAAAGATCTACTAAGGACCCAAATGGAATTATACTCATTTTGGAGCTCAATTTAGATGTGACTGGCAAATACAAATACATCAACAGAATCTGGATGCATTTTGTTCAATTCATGGAACGCATCTGCCATTTTATACAGCTTTTATCCTTCGATATCAACAGACGTCAAACAAAAAACTAGAATTTTAAAAGTTGATTACCAGTTCTCACCTCACAGATATTGTAATCTTCAGATTCTAGACACTGACATAACGTAGGTAACAACTCAGACCAATTTCGTAGTTCACCCTTCGCTACAATAGTGGTTACTAGGATACCAATTGTAGCTCGGATCAACGGAGATTGGTCTCCAATACTGTTCAAACATTCTTGTTTTATGAAGGTTGTCACTTCAGCTGGAAACTTCTCAAAATGAGCTCGAACATTATTTTTTAGAATAAGACCACTCAAAGATCTGGTGGGATCATCTGGAATACAAATGTTTTTTTCAATTTTCTGCGTCTGATTGAGTTAATGATGTCATGGCAACACCATGCTGTGTTCAATAAGGGAAATTATGACAGAACAGTGAGCTGCTTAACATGAACAGGTTGTAGTGCAAAACTACAAGGGCTTTTTGCCTTAACATCTTTCAAACACTGGACCTTTAAACTTCTGGGTAGCAAGCATCAAACTCACATCATAAGAAAGAAAGGTCATGACTGATAGCAGAGGTCCCAAGACCATTTCTTTCATGGACGTTTCAGGATGGATAATGATTTGACTTCTAGTGCAAAACAGAAACAAGGAAATTGACATTTTCCTTTTAAGATTTTTTTTTATTTGGAAAAACCCTACCTTCAGTTTTCAATTTTGTGAGAACGAATATGAGATAATTATTGAAATCTGGGTATCTATTTAGTTCTTCTAATTTCTAAACCGATGGATAAAGAAAAAATAAGTAATCAATTCATCTCAGTCATTCAGTGAGGTCTAAAATATGAAATGTAAAAAATTCCGCCATACCGATTTCACAAGCAAATCACAAGATTTTGCACGTGGTTGAGTTTTCGATCGTCAAAAAAAGGCGATCTACACGTATTAAGGGGTGTCTATTTGGGTATTTTAACAGATCAAAAGGATACTTGTTGAACGGCTCTCTGAGTCGCCGTATCGGGGGACTGAGACTCCTTCAAAAGTTGTAAAATCTGTTGAAGCCCTGACTCTTCTGGCTGCCACGCCATTTTGGCTTCTTCTGAATAAATTCCGAAATTTACGACGAAAATCGCCGGAAACGACCGGAAAGATGAGACTTTTGATTATCCAGACTGAAAATGCTATGAGTTTGAAGAGGAATGAAAACGACTGGATAATGAAACTGCAAATCAATAAAATCGATTTCAAGGAATTTATAAACTTTTGTTGACAACTGCAGCTTTTTTGTCAAAAACCCCAAAATCACCCAAAAAATCTTGTCTACTTTGAAAGAAAATGCCAAATATGTCTTTAATCAAAGTAAATTATTTTTAATTTGTTACGTAATTTTTCATTGGTTAAAAAAAAATCAAGGAAGTTATCTGCCCTTTATTTACATTCTACTTTTACTTTAGCAAAATGGCCTTTAATGTTGGAACGCATTAAAATTCCGTCCTTTTAAATGAAATTTTGGTTCGATCGGTGAGTGTTTGGTGAGTATTTTAGTTCAAAAATTACTCCCCTTGAACTGTCAAATATTTCCATTTCGTTAAATCCAGAATTTGTTGCAAATGTAGACGTATTTTTGACATTTCAAGGCATCTTCTTGTGAATCAATCAATCATAACCAATCATTTGGATAAAAATAGACTTGACGCAGATTTTAAACTAATGCCTTTGTGAAGTTATTAATTACTATTATCAAGATAAGGAAATAAAAGTTGTAGAGGTTTGCAATAGATTATCAAGAGCGTCGGCAATTGGCATAGTGTACAGACTAAGACGCTCTCACTCACAGTCACACTTTCATTAACTGCTCACACTGAGCACTGATGGGAACGAGAGAGCTCTGAATTGCCAGTGTAGGCGATATATTTGAACAGGCACTCTATGTGAAGCTATGTAACTGAGGTAACTGCACATGAGTTTTTGGCCATGAGTGAAGTATAAAAGGGCAGTCTATAAATAAAAAGTTTCATGCTTCTATTAATCAAATTAATATATTTAGGTCAATGAGAAGTCAAGTGAACCCAAAACAACAATGGAATGTCATACAAAATCTGATGAAGAAAATTTGAAAATTCTTCCTCAATCCCAAAAAGAAACTGTGGAAATAATTCAAAACTCTGCTGAGGTTAAAACAACTATGGAACCTCAGACAAAATTTGAAGTAAATGTGGAAATTATGAATGAATCTGAAGAAGAAACACCAGTGGACAGTCTAAGATTAGATCTACTACCTACTGAGATTCTGATGTATATTTGTGATTTTGTGGATGCCAAGACGATAATTAAAAGTTTATGTAAAGTTTGTCAAGCGTTTCAGCTGATATTCTCGGGTGATGTTTATTGGAAGTTGAGAATATTTAAAAGATGGCCGGAACAATACCCTGCTGTTTCAGGTTTGATACTATGTTTATTAAAGAAATTTATTTTTCAGGTCATAGTACTTCAAGATCAAGGTTGGATACAATTTGACAGGCAACCAAAAACACACCTGATTTTACAAGTGAGCTCTTCCAATCATAGTATATAAAAAGAAAGTAATGCATGTGTGGAAGAGTTCACTATAAAGTTGAGGGATGTCAAGTAGGTGACTGGCACACTATATCCAGCCTTAGTCATAATACAGATGTCTTGCATAGTTGGTTGTAATTTTGAATATCTTTAGTACTCCACGCAGTGTGCAATAAGAGAAAAAATCCTAAATTCTCAATCTCCTATTTTTTTTTTATTTTTTGTGTAGTTGATGATTTTGATTGGAAAGAAGGCTGTATAGCTCGAGAAGATTACAATAGAAAATGGCAGAATCCTGAAGAATATTATCACCATATATCATACAGTGCTGGTTTATTCGCAGCAGTTGATGCTGTACATTTGATGAAGGTAAACTATTTTCAGCTCTTTATGTAAATTAAAATACAAAAAAGAACTGTCTATCTCTTGACCCGCGATAATTTTTGTCCAGTAAGTCGTAAATCCATGTCCATTATTCTGTCCGTCAGTTTCTGGAATAGATAGTACACGTATTCAACTGTTATTAATGAAGTGTCGCTTTGAGTACATCTATATAAAATCCTTAAATTAACATCAAGTCTATATTTGACCTCTTCCCAGTATTTGGCGACAGATTTATTGCCCCTGTCCATAAATATTGAAATTGCTGTTGATCCTAGTTTTCAACCCATTTTGTGAAAAGAATGCTGAATCTTTCATTTAAATGATCAACTTAGATATTTAATTTTCCAGAATGGGTCAATATTGGCAGCTGGCTCTAGAGATAGATATCTGACTGTTTTAAACCTTGACCGGTACGATTCAGACCAGCCTGTAGATAGTATGAAAGATATGCTGGTATATAGTGACAGGAAGGAACACACAGGTTGGATCTGGTCTCTGGCGTCTGTTGATAATCAGCTGGCTACAGGCTCCTGGGATACGTTTATAAAATTATGGGATGTAGACGCAGGATGTGAGTCGATATCAAAATTCAAGTAAGTCCAAAAAAATCTTACTGGCTAGTCAAAAAGAAAGAGGCTTTTCTCCTGACGTATTCATAAAAGGCATTGGTTTTCCTTTCAGTTGTTCTAACTGTGAATCTTTGTCATATTTTCCAGATGTAAATCAGCAGTACTCTCCCTTTATATGGAACCAGGCTTTATAGCCGCAGGAAGTTACGATAAATGTTTAAATTTGATCGATCCACGAGATGGGAAAGTTGACTCCAAACGTTTACATCGTCAGCCTGTTTTATGTGTTGCCGGGGACGATAAATACATCATAACAGGAAGTGAAGATAAAACGATCAAGATTTACGACCGACGGGCGGGATCACTTTATAAAACGGTTAAGGTAAGAAACGGAGTACATATATCGTGGTGTATTATTAACTATTATAAGCAGATGAGGCTAGGGATTACTTGTTGTCACTTATTTTTAAAAATCTGACACTTAATCAGGTATTGTCTTGTGCATCATAGAATTAAGAAGAAGTGTACCTATTTTGTACTGAATCCATAATAAGGTTGTTCCAAAAAAGCAAGCGGTGGCTCAGCATTAGTCTGTCCTTGTGTATTTGTCTATTCTTTTTTTTACTGTATCCATGATAGGATTGTGCTTTACATGTGCTGCGGAGCCAGATAGGGATGAATTGGCTTAACATTAGTCTCCCCATATTTACCCTTACATCTTTGATTCCCGAATGATAATGGCTATGGAAGGAGGTAACTCTGTGATATATTTTTAGCTAGAAGACTGCTATCCATTAGATTTAAATTATGGTGATAATCAACTCTGGTTTGGGGATAAAACAGGAAATTTACACCTCATCAACACGACACATGGTGATTTTAATATGGTGGCAGTAAGTTTCTGTTTATTTCATTTGTTACTGTCACTGTCTTTTCCTCATTCAGAATTTATGGTGTTGCTTGTATTCATTAGCACAATCAAGTACATGTACAGAAAAGTAGGACATTTGAACTTAGCTAGATTATTCCAAAGGGTTTTAATGAAATAGTTCCTTACTTCACAAAAATACTTTTGTTCAAACTGAACTAGATACTACACCTTGATTCTCCACGATTTTTAAAAATGTATTATTATTTTTAGACATACGATGTCGGCCATACTGGTAAACTGACTGGTGTACAAAGAACTCCTGGATCAATTTTTACTTCGAGCAGCGATAACACGATAAAAGTTCTACAACCTACATTAAATCCCACGGCAATGACTACGCTTAAACATCATGATGGTGATGTAGCAGGGGTAGGTATAGAGTTATTGCTCTTGATTTGAATTTCCTAAAGAAAGAGACACAAGTGTGTGAAGCTTTTGAATATGAAACAAAATTTTATGTTCATTATAGCAAAATCTTTGTGGCCAACATGAATTGGTCATGTCATCCGTGCTCTTTGCATGAATTTTCTAATTGCTGAGCCACAGAAGTCAGACTGAAATTGAATTGGTGTAAATAGAAGCTATAAATGTACCTGATAATCATACACTCGAAAACCTCATAACATTTAGTTTAAGATTCTTTTGAATCAGAAATCTGTAACGATATTTGATGTCTGCTTATATTTCTATTTATAGATCAGTTATCAGAATGGTATCTTGGCGTCTGCAGGGTGTGATATATCAATCGGAATTTGGCTCCCGAAATAATCACGGACCAACATAATATTTATAAACGCTTGTGATACATTCCAGTTCAGAGATTCAAGACCAACTACTTTGTACCTCTCATAATTTTATCACCCCTCATCCCCCCCCAACCCCCCCAAAACCCTTCTACCCAGCTTTGAGAGATTCCTACCAGACTGTTGTCAAATGACTTTTTCAAAATCTAGATGAATTGAATCTCATACTGCGGAAAGATCAAAATAAATCAAAACTTTTTCTATGTAGCTAATCTGAAAGTCACTTATTCATATCAGGAGTATATTGTTGACAGATGTCAGTTAGCTAGAACCATATTTATGCTTACCCAGTTATTATTAATCGTCTTTAGCTAGGTAACAGGGAGAAAAACTAGACTGTATTTTATTCTGTGGTGTTGAACTGGTTAAAGTATATATGTTAAGTTAAATCAAATTAGAAGATAAGTTCTCTTGGTCCATTGTAGCCTTATGAGATCATCAATTTCGTCTAATTAGAATAAAATTATCAAGTAAATTAATGTCTTGGGATCAGTTTGTAAATTATTTTGAACATATAAAAAAAGTGAAAAAAAGACTAGCTGTTTTATTTGCACTATTTCTGAATTTATTAACTCAATATTTCACATGTTTTCAAGTAGAATTTGTGGAGTATTTGATCCAAACAAAGTGCTTTTTTGTGTATCTAGCAAAATGGAATTTTTTTCTGCGAATTACTACACTCATCCATGCACTCGCGATGGCACATGTCATGACCCAGACAAAAACTAAGACCAAACATTAAGAACTTCATTTTATTGAGATTATAAATAAGCTTTGTTTCACTTACAGACTAAAATAGCATGCATTTATTACAATTCATTCAATATTCAGTTTAATATTTTTGTAGTTTATTTGCAAGATCCAAATAAAAAAATAACTTAATATAACTTTTCTTGGTTTATATTTATAACATTACTATTAGATCCCCTCCGCACCGTAGCAGGTGACCCCATGTCAGATTGTCAACTTATTTTCAACCGCTATCATGTGCAAAAGGTCATTTTGATTGGTTGAAATTTAAGGCCTCGTACAAAGCTATATAGATAAAGTGAACCACAGATCCATTTATTATTAATAAGGGAGCGTACTTTCAAGGTCAAACATATTATATTCAAAGTTAAATCTATAAATCATAAGTTTGACACAGCCTGAGAAATTAATTGTGGTAAAAGGGAGATAACTCTATTTAACAGGTGAGATATATTTACCTGTCACTGTCACCTGACCACTAGAGGGCGGCACATCAAAGGATAGACCGACATGTAAACAGAAGCGTCATTAGTTTCACCTCAGTCGGGTCAGTTTTTGGGGATTTTCTGGTGATATTGGACAAGATTTGACCTTGCTTTTCCAGAACTATGAAGATCATAGTCTTCTAAAAAATGTTGATGTTCCTGGAGTTTAAAAATACGATACGGAACATAGAGTTTTTGCCTTACCTTGCTACCCCTGCGGGCTCCTGATAGGTCTAATTAAAACATCATGCAGTGTACAATGAGGGAACTTTTGCCAGGACAGAAGCACAAGCCTACTACATAATACAAGTGGTGAATGAGTTGAACACTTGCTCGCAAACCTAAAGCTCCGGAGTTCGATCCCTGCAAGGTCAAAATGGACCTGTGTTTTTAACTGTGATTCTCCCTGCCATTGATGAAGATCAGAGAGGCTGAGATTAAAAAAGAGTGTTGTTTTTGTTTGGATAAAAACCATCTTGTGTGCTAGATGATGACAAAAGTGGACTGCTATAGTACTGGCAAAATTTTTTCAATCAACGACAATACCCATGCCCCATATTCCTTAAGCCTGGAGCTGAATAGTATGACATCTAACTACATTTTATTTTCAGAAATTTCTGACCTTACCTCAATTTTGGCTTTATATATTTTTAGATGACAGTAGGCTATGGTTTAATAACTATTAAAATATACACAGTGAGTCTAGTCTAGTCTAGTCCAGAGTTAGGGCTAATAAAATGACGGGTAATTCTTATTCTCTGGAGTCAGAGGAACTTAACGATGATCTTCTGGAATTCAGACGCTGTGGGTACGACCAGAATAAAGGCATTGGCTTGTGGATTAAATATTTATTTGTGGTTTTTCTAGTTGTAGGTTTAGTAAGTATCTATTTTTGTAAGATATTTTTAACATATTGAGGTGGGGGGAGAGAGTGGTATGATTTGAGACTAGGTATAGGGGGCCAAATTGACTAAAATATAGATTGGTATGTTTTCTTTTATGTTTTTTCTGAGGTTGCCATTTACCATCCATGATGATGAACTGAAATTAGAGCCCATGATTAATTTGTTGGACATAACTAAGCAAACAACTTGAGCTATTTCTAAGCCAATGTACTATTTGCAGTCCCCATAAAGGAAAGTATGATGGGATTTTATATCAGTAGACCAATAAATTAAATATATCTTAATATCAACATTTCAGTTTGGAGCATTGGCTATATTAGGTATAGGAATTTGGACGTACGAAGCTGAATATGGAAGTAAAGTTTTATCCAAGTTAATCGGAGTCAATCTATATCAGGTTGATTCGTATATTTTAATCGGGGTTGGTTCCGCCATTATATTTGTTACTATGTTAGGTATTTGTGGATTGGTTGCTCAATACAGATGTCTTATGGGATTGGTAAGTTTTGCACAAATTTTTATTTTTTCGCTACTTTTCCAAAATTAAGTTTATTCAACCTATATTTTCTATTTTATGATATTTCTATGAAGTACTTCTCAATTTCAATTGATCAAGTGGAGATTATAATGACCATTTTAAATCTCTTATTTCAGCATCTGAGTCTACTAGCATTCACGTCAGTAATGTTGTTTGTAGCTGGAATTCTGGGATATGTTCTTATCAGCGAGGTAAGTTTTCAACATATTAACAAATTTTGTCCTTTTTTGGTTGCAGATGCTCAAATAAAACTGTCGTTGAAAAGCAAATACTTTATCCTAAATATTGTCAAGGAGAAAACTCAAAATTTCTTCTTTCTATTACAGTTAGAAGATAAAGTACGAAGCAAGATGGATGATACATTAGTGAATCATTATGGGATAGATATTGATAAAAACGCACAGAATCTCGAGATAACAGAAGCATGGGATGAAATACAGAAAAATGTAGGTTGAAATTTGCATGAAAATTTTATTTTTCAAAAGTTTGAGTGAAAATATTTTAATTCAACCTCATGAGTTTACCCCCCCATCGGGTCCGTCTGCCCCTATTTGTACCCCCAGTCTCTGAAGGCTGGCGCCAACATGGCTACTGAGTTAAGGATTAATAATTTAAACAAGAATGAAAATTGATGATAATGGTTTAATTTAATTTCAGTTTGAATGTTGTGGGGTGTACGGAGATGTAAATGAAACCAATTCCTGGGCTATATATAAACAAAGATCCAAATGGTTTCTTAAATCATATTCTAGTGAGTATTGGATCATAATTACAGAAAACTACTTACTGTGAAAATTAACACCTTACAATATGCTTCAGAGGACAAATCCAGAAGATCTGGTGGCATATTCTCGAAACGATCTTAGAGCTAAAGTGTCCTAGGTTCTTATCTTCTAACATTGATTCTAAGACATCCTGACACTTCGATCGTTTCAAGAATACGTGGCCAGGTTCTCATGATTATAAATTGACTGAAAACTGGTTATTTTGGAGCTCCATTGAGACACAACTGATCAATCCAATTGGTTAGATTTCATGTTTAGTGTTTGGGTGACGGATTAGCATATAGTAAGCTGGATCTTGTTTTCGAAACCTTGCTTTAATCGGTTTCATAATTTCCCCGAGGTTAGTGAGGGTTTAAACTATAAATCTATTTGATCTCGTTTCAGATGAAACGTTTGTACCAGCTAGTTGTTGTGAGAATCGGAATGAAGAAGAATGCCGGTATTTAACTAACAGTACCTATCTACTAGCTGACCCTGTAGTACAATATCCTACTAACGCCAACTTTACTCTGTATACATACGTAAGTATCTCTTGCTGTTGATGAAAACAAATCTGAGAAAACTGACATAGGTGGAGGGAGATCTACTTAAATTAACAAGTCAACCATTAAATCTCTCTATTATAAATAATCGGAATTTTAGCCTTAATTATAACAGATTGTCAATCTTGTTTGTATGATTTTAAGCCAGTTGACACATGAAAAAATAAGATCACCATTAGCTTGGGTTTTTATTATGGTGTGCATTATATTTCCGTCAATATTTGTAGGGTTGTTTTGATAAATTGGATCCGTATTTAGAGAAAACTGGAATAGTAATTGGTACTACAGCCATAACTGTTGGTGTTTTACTAGTAAGTAGCTTCACATCTTTCTTCTGTTAAGGTCTCAATTTCTGATGCAACCTGAACTGTGTCCAAACAGCAATAAAACTATAGGACAAGCCTACTATTGGCATTCAGTTTTTTCAGCCTTTATTCTTAATATAGCCCATTCGTAAAGACAGCCCTATTGAACCTTCAACGTGCCTGTGTTGGCATTGAAGAGGAAATTATTACAAGAATATTCTGACTAATTCTTGAGATCTATTGTAGTCAAAGACATTCAAGTTCAGATGTATTAAATAAATTATCGGAATTGAAATTTATATTTCAGCTGATAGAGTTAGTACTATCTATTTTAATGTACAGAATGTTGCCTCCAAGTTAATCAGTTACCATGGTGACGGATTTATTTTAATGCTCAAATTTTTTTAAACTGCTGGTTGTGGTGCATGGCATTTTACAATATATTACAAGGATACTTATAAATATCCTTTGAACCAGCTGGATCTTGATTTTACAATATCAATTTAAATTCTCATGGATCCTGTCTACCAACTGGTTCCAGACCAAACCTCTGGCAATAACTTTACAAGGATGGCAACTTATATCAGCTTAATGAAGTAGTCGAAGAATTGTATTTTTGATTACCACGACTGTGATATTATTTTAGTCTGTATCGGGGGCCAATTTTATATAAATTAGACTTTTTGAAATTATTTTTTGAAAGTGTGTATGTTTGTGTATGTCTAAGAATTATTTTAATTTAATTTTTAAACCAGTCATTTTTTAATTTGTAAATATTCCAGTCTAAATTTTTTTATTATTTGTTCAATGAAGATAAAAATTATTTAAACGTTCATTTTTGTGGAATTTAGAGTCAATTTCAATATAATTATATAATAATCTTAAAGCAGAGTTAAAACTGAAAATTATGATGCAAGTCAGACAATATTTTAAAATGTTATATGCAAATAAAATTTTGAAAACAGGGATTACCTCAACTATGTCGCAGCATTTTTCTTTTATGGAATGATCTTAGTATTCCTTGCCACATGATTACTGATTGTAACATGTTATTTTATGATTTAGGCTCTGAAGGTTAAACAAACAGCGTTTCTGACACTGAGGCTGTATCACAGGCATCTTATTTGCCATCATAATTGCATTTGAAGATTTCAAAGGATCTAGTGATGTAAATTTTTAAATGTTCTGTAACTATGTTGTATAATACAATGTTAATTGTTGTACTAAAACTATTAAAACCTAGTTTTTCTTGTGAAATAATGTAAAAGGTAGTTGAAGATCGGTTTCAAACTAGAGATTTGAGAAGTATGATTATAAAAATTGTTCCAATGAACATTTTAATGATCAGTTAGCAGAACGACTTTACCTTGATAATCAAAGCTTTGGGAGTGATAATATAATTTATAATTACAAATCGTATAAACAAAATATTCTTACAGAAACAAAATATTCAACAGTACACAATATATAACAATTTGACAGCTAGTTTTAAAAATTATTTCTTTCCTTGGAAACACCTTAACACCAGGCTCTTTTTTCATTCCTGTCATCAAATTAATACCAAATTTAGTTTCCAAATCAGATTACTGTATTTCTGGTCTGGTTTTTAACCTAATTAATTTTTCGAAAATGAGGCACAAGCACAGCAAATGTATCCTGAAATCTGCTTCAAAAACTTGTTAAATCTGAATTTGATCTCACTTGATATTATTTTTTGATCCGAGTAATAGTAAGCACTGTTGTAATAAATAAAACAATATAGTCTGCAGATTTGCTGTCTTTAACTTTGAGTTGAATGTTCACTTTTAGTTCCTTGCATTGATTCCATTTTTTTTTTCAAGTCAAAAAATCCTCAGTATCCTGGGTATCTTTCCACTAACATAGCATGTCCCTAAAATATAGAATATAACATAGAACGAAACCACAATTAATCTTCGCAGGTTTTCTATCTCAAAGACAAACTTAAACAAAAGCTGATAATAATATCTAAGTCTTGGTGACCTCATAAATGCATGTTTAGTTGTGGTGGATTTACAAGAACTACAAATTGGAATGATGCAAATGGATTCTATTAGTGTCAGTGTTCCCAATATGTATCAAATAATTGGGAATCCTTAAAATCACTTAATGATGAGCAAAATTGCGTTAAGACTAACAACACTGCAAATGATTGATGTGTTAACTTTCTACTGGTATAGCCAACATAGACGCCCATTTTATTGTATTGTAGTTAATCATCAATAAACTTCTACTTACTATTCCACCAGCAGCGCAGGCCGCCACTAATCCAAACTGTCCATCTTCTTCCTTCAATCTATTGGCTGCTGTAGTGACCAATCGAACGCCAGTCGCTCCGAATGGATGACCCAATGATAATGATCCTCCCCAAAGATTTAATTTATTCATAGGTGGAGCTCCAAACTGTAAGGAAAAAAAGGCTATTTTGAAAAAGAAGATGGTTTTTAGAAAGCTGCTACAGGGACTCATATGCATGCAAAATAAAATATTAAAATTTTTATCGACATTCTAAGTTTGTCAGTAAGTTATGTATTACAATTCACATTAAAAATAATCGATTCAATTATAATTAACCGCAAACATAGAAAAAAGTTTGTTATTTTCAAACTAACTTGTACAGTTAAATGAATAAATTATTAAATCTAAATGAGTAATTAAATTAAAACAATAATACATGAAGAGATTTACCTTGGCTGATCTGCCCATCTGTTTTGTACTGAAACTATCGGAATCTAACGCTTTCATATTGGCTAATATCTGACCCTATAAATTTTAATAATACATTATCTATAATCATGTATAAAAAATTCAACAGCTGACCAACTCACTCATAATAGACAACACTAAAAAGGACATTCTTTGCTTTGCTATTTCAAGAATTAATCTAAAATGGTTTTCATGTGTTATTATTTCAGTCTGTGTGTGAGAATCTGACCTTTTTTTCTTCATTATGCCAGTAGCCCCATATGTACCAAGCAAGATCTATGCCAAAAGATTTGGTCAAGGATCAGCTGGTAGACAAGAGCTCGACAGCACAAGAGTAAATTTTTAATAATGTTTATAACTTACAGCGAAAGCTTCGTGATATTCAAAAACATCCACATCACTTAGTTTCAAACCAGCTCTGTCTAGAATCTTAGGAGTAGCATACGCAGGTCTGAAAATATTATTCATAACATTGATTATTGACATGTTTTACTCATTTTGATTAAATAGCGTCTACTTTACATTGACAATCCTTACAGCTTTTCCTCTGCTTGGACCCTCAATGTAGACGTCCGATTATTAAAAAATAAAAACTTACCCCAATAAAAGTTGATCTTTGGGATCTTGTGAAACGTAGAGGAAATCTCTAAGATAAGCTTTAGGTTTATATCCCATAGCTAGAGCTTTTTCTTCGGACATAATCAGACACGCTGAGGCACCGTCCGTCTAAAATTACAAATATAAAATCATACATAATAACATTGGGAGTAAAAACATTAAAACACAAGCCAATGGTACGGGATCTTTACAATGTCAAGCTATTTATATCTCATTGACATCATATAGTACTTTCAAGTTATAAGACTGTCAGAAAGCTGTAAACATACGATTTATCCCCCGAGTGAGAATGCCGAATTATAAAGCACAATTAAAGAAATGGCAGAGCAGTACTTCCACCATTGTTTACAGTCTTTCAAAGGCTCTGATTGGCTGTTTTCCTTAGCATACAATCCAATCACATTTATATATTGAAGAGTGTGGAGTCTCCAAGCTTCACGTGATAAAAAAAAATATGTAAAACTCACCAAAAATGAAGCATTTGCAGCCGTAATGGTTCCGTATGGTTTAATGAAGGCAGCTTTCAACGATGACATTTTCTCCATTGATGAAGGTCGAATTCCATTATCAGCTGTAACAGTATCGTTCACTCCTAGATGGACAAAACAAATATTCAAGAGTTTGAGTAAAGTTTTTAAAGAATAACTATTTTGACTTATCTTTTAGAAAGAACCTTTACCAAAAGATTCAAGGTAAAATTTTTGAGAAACAGCTCTCAGGGTTCCCTTTCACAAAAAATCTTACTATCACCTTTTATTGTCATTGTGGTAATGCAGCAAAAAAAGTCAATTTTAAGAGATGCAAGGCTAGACACTGTTATTTCCTGAGATTACAATTTGATGACTAAATACCTCGTTCTATCTGGTTGTTCAAGACTAAATCCCTACCTGGTACTTTATAATCCAGTCTATCTGTTAATAAACCTTTCTTTGTGGCCTCGGCAGCGAGAGTGTGGGAACGGAGAGCAAATTCATCTTGTTCCTGTCTTGTTACACCGAATGCTGTACATAATCTGTCTGCTGAATGACCCATAGTTTCTCCTGTAGAAAACTCAGCTACGGCTGGTAACTAGAAAATAATTACAACTTAATAGCAGAAATTTACAAATTAAACTCATTGTCTAAGACAGGCATCTTCAGTTTGATTAAAGTCCTAAAAACCCTGACCTTAACTACTGTCTCCGACAGATCTTGATTGATTGTTGTCTGGGAGAAATGCATCATTTACAACTTCTCATGCCTATGTTTTTCAGTAATTCACTCAAAACCCCCATATTGGTTAACTTGAGAGAGAAAGCTTGTCTTTCATCAAATTAATTTAGACATACCTCAGGGCTCCAGACTTTGGGGCTGAACATTTTTGAAGCCAGGCCGAGTTTTTGGGCTGGAGTTTTAGCTTTATTCAGACTGAGCATGATGCTTCTCATTTTACGACTGTGTCTGATTGGAACGTCTGACATAAACTCGACTCCTCCTGCTATTACTGTATCACATTGACCTGCTGCTATCATACCAACACCTAGAATATTATAATATAATACATCAGTTAGCAGGAGACAAAGTAGAACCAGTGTTTTTTCCAAACTTTTATCAATTAGCCTCGTGGTTTTGTATGATAAATGAAAAGCAACATGTACCAAGATAGTAAGTTTGCTGCAAATCAATCAGTACTGAAAGGAAATTGTTCAGACAACAGCATCAGCCAGTTGTCAATCTATCTTTAGATTGTCCAATTAGAAGTACAAGAAACCTCTATCATCCAGTCTCTCTTTGTCTAAGTACAGCTTTAACGAAAGATGGCCTGGACTGGTTGCTTAAAACTTTGTAATTGACAGTCTACTGTGGCTATTGAATCTGATTGGTCAGAGGCTAAAAGACTAGATGCTTTCAAATTCAGCTGCATCACTTACTACAGGAAACCATGTTTATCAACCTACCGGTAGTTATGGCCTGATTCGATGATATACAGGCCTGGGTGACAGTGTGTGCTGGTATTTTATCTGAAAACCCTGCCCCCAAGGCTGCCTCCCTGGCTATATTACTGGTCTTGACTTCCTGTATTACTGTACCATATATTATATAGTCTACACTTTCTACAAATAAAAAACATTTTATTGTTTAATGTATTTACTTTTAAACTAAACTAAGATAAATCAGGGCTTTAAGAAATACAACAATTTGATTGGTTGATTAAATTTAATCAATTTTAGTGATTGACCACTAAATCATAAAATCTAAATTTGTTTCTTGAATTTTGGATGCTTTATCTAAACTCTTCTTAGAAGATGACAATGAACAGACAAACAACTTGACAAATAGATGAATAAAACAATACCTTTAGGAATACCAGTTCTTCTCTGAAGCCCTCTGAAATGTGAATAAAAAGATAATAAATATTCACCTTTGGGTCAAAAGAGTTTGAGTTTTTCAAACCTTTAGCTTTATTTTCAACTCTTCGTTACAAATATGACGTATACTAACAATCCGATATTTAAAAGTTTGTATTCCTGGTTTGAAGAAGAAAACTTACATTAAGGCTGTCCTGGCAAGGTCGTGAGGCATCAAGTTTTTATACGACGTACCAGACATTAAGAATGGCGTTCTGACTCCTTCAACCAGTACGATATTTCGAACCCCAGACTTGCCCAGGGACTTCTTTTTACCTACAAATATTTAGAAATTTACAATTTAAAATTAACAGGCTAACAAACACCGAAAACAGCCAGCAACTATTTCCTCAGATAAACTTGACAGTACAATTTGCCAGTCAAAATTGACAACTGAAATCAAATCCAACTACTGCCAAATTTGACAGTTAAAACATTTGAGTTATTTATTTGTATTATGGACATTTTCAACTTTCAGAAGACCCATTTTAAATTTATACTGTCTGAAATTCTGATATCTTATAAAGTTTAAATAATGATATTCATACTGACCCTCAGCTGCATGTGGGACTGATGATAAACTTAAACTTCTCACTCCAACTGAAATATTATCGAAATACAAGTTTGAAAATATTTCATCCATCAATCACACTGTACGATAGCAAAAGCGTTCCAAAAACTCCTATCATCATAATAGTTGAAGACTGGATGTAGCAAAGTTGGTTGAAGCATAGGAATCATGATGTTATTTGCTTCACGCAAAGGATGTTCGTGCTTTTAAATCTGAATCTGGTTGACATAATATTCTGTCCAGATTTCCTGGGCCATTCCTTTTGAATACTGTCAAAAAATGAAGACCATATCTTCAGAACTAAAGATCACAAGATGGCCAACTGTTGTTATGGTTTATTGTCCAAAACCCTACAGAAGGGCATAGTTAGCAATCATCACCCTGGTCTGAAAAGATAAGTTGAACCCCTCTATTCCGACCAGTTTCACTGTCGTTTGTTATACAATATAGAAATATCAAAATAAAGGAAATTTTACAATGAAATCGGTGCACAAATGAATCTGATAGTTTGAACTTTATGTCAAGGAACCCATTTGTGTGCCTAAAAATACATGTTCGAAAAACTTACAACTTGCAGCAGAAGTTTTGCTGAGCTGAGAAATTCTGTGCACCATGGACGCCATGCTGGAAACTGTGGACTTTGACTGTCACGTGACTTGGGTTCTCGACTCACGGCTTTGGCTGAATTCCAAAAGTTTGACCAGGGTGATGAATGAAAAATTGTCAGGGGTGAAAAGTTGAACCGATTTCAGAGTTGAGCAGATTTCATTAATCTCAGCAAAACTCAGAAAAGAACAATTACGTGACGAGAGTTGGCGAGACTTCACGTTACTATATGAGATATCAAAGGTTAGCCGGCTGAAGACAAAATGGCCAGCATGAGACTCGTGGCGTCCACCAGACAATTTCTACGGGCTGGTAGTCATCTGGTACAAGGTGAATATTTCATACTGTTGCAGTCGATTAACTTAATATTATTCTTGACTTTCACAAAATTTCATTGCCGAATAAATTGTACTTCCTTTGCTATTCAGGTGCAAAGAAGTGGTCAGTTTAAAAAAGTTCAGATTTTGCAGACGAATTTTGTGAGGTCATTTCATCAGATTTGATCAAATTTTACTTTAGTCAAGAAACTGTCAATTATTTGAAAACGACAGATTTTCAAGTATCATAACCAGCATGATTTTTTGTCCTGTGTACTTTCCTATCTGCCAATCTTTTATCAAATTATTTATGAAATGCATTCAAGTTTGTTGTTCCCTGGTCTTTGCTATAGATAGGTTTTTCAAAATGACATGTCAAATTTAATGCATTAAACATAGGCAAGTGCCTCGTGAAATTTGAATAATAATGTAAGGAGCAGATTAAATATTTTCACCAATGAATGATTATTTTTTGAAGTGTCAACCTCTTATCTAAACCAAGGTCTTTTAAGACAGGTTTAGCTGTTATGTAAAATGGACTTTGACCTGAACTTTTACCTGTGATTAAGAAAATTAAGTGATATTTCTATTTCACTTTCACCTACTACATCTAGGCCAAGGGTCATTAAAAGTGTATGATATGCTCCAGTGGATTTTGGTTTGATAATAGACCTATTCAGAAATTATTTCCAACTTGTGAGAAATTCAAAACTAAACCTTTAATGAAGTGAATATATCTAAATTTGCAAACCTAACATTGAAACGGAACCAAGACACAAGTAGCTTTCAGGGTTGTTTATGGTCGTCAAGAAGTCAACTTTTCCGCTATTTAACTGATTTCCATTGTTATTTCAGATCATGCCATCCTGCGTTGTATTTCAACATCTCGTCCTCTCTTTTGTAAGTTCGTGTTTCTCATTAAATACCTTTTTAAACTTGCAGATCATAAAAATGTCATGAATCAATGCCTAAAACTGGGATAGGCCTGAACTTAGTTGATCATTGTTAATGGAATACAGTTGTCTATGTTCTGCTCTTTTGTTAAGGCAAAGTACAGTATTTAAAAGTTCTGTAAATTACAATAATATTATAGATTGATTTTAGTTTTTGTATTTTTCCAGCCAATTCGTTTGTGCAGTATGAGAAAGTTGATAATGTGGCTGTGGTACGATTCAATGATCCTAACAGTAAGGTAGGTTGGAGCTCCAAATTTTTTAGGGGTTGGACATTTTCATGGATATTCCATTAAAACTAGGTGTTTGATGAACAGGCCTTCAGTGATAAAGCATAATTTGCAAATAGTGACACTCAGTTTTATTGGAATTGCAGGAACCACAGACATCTGTTTGCAAATTGGAATGGTGCAAATTGATGCTATCGGTGTCCCCGATACACATTTAGAAAACCTGTTTACTATCCCTTCAAGCATTTTATGATGTCCCCAACTTTTTCTCTTTAACCTTTGATTTAAGTGTCAGAATTGCAATAGCCTCAGAAAAAGCCTTAAAGAAATTGCCATTGACTTAAAATGTCTACTGCAAATGTCTTGATTTATGGGAATTAAAATTTAGAGGATGTTTTTGAATTTCCTTCCTATCTTTTCTGTGTGAAATAAGATTAAGTTTTGTAATTTGGATAATTTCAGCAAAATTCCCTCTCTAAGAAGATGCAGGAAGATTTTGTGAGTGTTTTTAACGAAGTGAAACAGAGACAAGACATAGATAAAATAGTTTTAATATCGGCCAAACCTTCGTCTTTTATAGCTGGCGCAGATATAGGGTATGTTTCATTTCTGTTACTAATCAATTTAAATTTATGCTAGGCAGTTAGGTATCCCTCAAGCTGGGGTAGATATAGGGTAGGTTTGCTTTGTTAGAAACTGTTTCTTTTTATTAAGACTAGTAGGAATTTAAATACCAAATTTGGGTTATCACTTGCTATTGGATGCAGAGTTTTTATTTAGTTAATTGAGTTACTCTGATATGACATATATATCACAGAGACAGATACCATAACCTTTATGGGAGTTATCTTCCCTCGCGGAATAACTGCTCTTGTAAATGAAATAACTTGTTTTTTGCCAACTGGTTCATTTTTTGCTTCGTTAATGACGACAAGAACGCTTGCTACCTCTAATTGTGCTCAGTTTTTATAACATGGCCTTTGATATTTCAACACAAGTTACAAGTGTTAATGAAATTCAGAAATAAAATGTCATTCAATTCTTTTTTCAGAATGTTGGAAGCGTGTACAACGAAAGATGAAATGTACAATATCTCGATGGGTGGACAGAAAATATTCAATGAATTAGAACAATCTGAGAAACCTGTTGTAGCAGCCATCATGGGAGCTTGTCTTGGTGGTGGGTTTGAGGTATGTATAGTCATATTGTGGTCTGAAAACATGAATTTAGTAAGAGTAATCTCCCCCCAAATGGTTGCAGAGAGCCTAGACTTTAAGATTTGGATCTTTGATTCGTTTTCAGTCAAGATATTAAGAATTTTTGGATGAATTATGTTTGCAAATGCAACGATTGGATTGTACACTGGCGAATGTAGGGACCTCAACAAGAAAGTCTGTAAACCATAAGCTATTGGTTGTATTCAATCCTATAAAATCACTGCCTCCGAAATGCAAGTATAGTGCTTATTGTCTGAGGACATGCTGCATGTTTTGACATTTTGTTTGAATATTTCAGCTGGCCATGGCGTGTCACTATAGAATAGCAGTCAATAACAAGAAGACAAGTGTTGGTCTACCAGAAGTTATGTTAGGATTACTCCCTGGGGCAGGGGGAACCTACAGACTACCTAAATTAGTAAGTTCTTCACCCCAGAAACTGTTTAATATCCCTAGTCGAGTGGATATTGAAAAAGTGTAGGCTGTTGCCACTGTTAGTAAAAAATTTCCTCATTGAACACTTCAACTTGTAGCCTGTGATTGTGAGCCCCTTAGAAGCAGAAAAGTAGGAGATAAAACTCCAAATCATTTGATTTAGAATATTGACTTAGAATATTAATGCAAAATTTCCCTCATCGTACACTGCATGACATTGAAGAGTGTTATTAATCCCTCAGGAGATGAAAATTAGGCTATAAAACTTTAATTTCATTAAAAAGTTTGTGCGCTCTTCTTTACTGGAAGAAATAAAGCTCTATTTAATTAAGAATAATGTTTTTGTTTGTAGACGTTTTTCCCCAATGCCATGGAGATGATGTTGACAGGTAAAATGATAAAAGGTAATAAGATGAAGAAGATGGGACTCGTGGACCTACTGGTAGATGAAATTGGACCAGGACTAGTTGACGGAGAAACTAACACCATGAAATATCTAGAAAGTATTGCTATACAGAAAGCAAAGTAGGTTGTCTTTTCTTGTTTTGCATAGGGTTGCCAGAGTCTAGTCCTGGGACAAGAAACCAAGGCCCAGTTTGCTGTAGTCATAGCGAGTTGCTAGTTGGATTTTATAAGAATGAATAGACTTCAAAAGGCAATTGTCATTTATTATGTGAAAAAGAATTATTTTTCAAACCAAAAACATTTCATTCTGCAAAGTTTAAGAATTGAGCCATATTTTTGCCGTGTCATACTTGTTTGTTACTTTGTAGAACGTTAAATGTGAAAGATATCAAAGATGAGAGAGTTAAAAAAGTTTCTTTTAAACAAAGTAAGTTTCAGTTTAAATGATTATAACGAATGGCTGGTCTATTATTATTGAAGAGGAAAAAATCTTACAATGCTTTTTACACTGCATGGCAATTTTGTATCTGTTGCAGATAAAACAGAGTAGCAAAAGCTCAGGAACCCTTTGGAACTTTTATTTGTAATGATTATGTTCTTTTGAAAAAATAAGGAGCTTGATAAGAGTTCTGCTCAACAATATTTTTAAGTATTTATTGTATTTGTCATGCTTATTTTTATTTTGTAGAAGTTTTAGATTTTGTGTTGGGAATTGAATTCGCCAAGACTCAAGTATTTAATAAACTAAAACAACAAGTGATCAAACAGAGTGGCGGACATTATCCTGCTCCCCTCAAGATTATAGAGGTAGGGCTATCATATTTTCATGAGTTTTTTTATGACTACATCTCTCTATTTGGTGGCTTATTGTTAGCAACACTGATCTTTAATCCTGCCTTTCGTCTGTCAGTTCACATTTCCTTGTAAACGCTAGAGAATTTACAGTTTTTAACAGATACAATTTTAGTGCTCAGTAATGATTAATAGAGTTCTTGCCCTTGTCTTCAAATAATAAAACTACCACAGCCCCCCTATTTATGTACTGATTTGTTGATGTTTGTAAAAGTATTTTATCCTCATTCCTTTTACCCCTGTTGTAATATTTCAGACAGTGAAAGCAGAGTTAGAACAAGGTGCATTAAATAAAGATGGTATTAGTGAAGTCGAGGCCAATGTAAGTATCCAATGTCAATTTGTCCTTCATTGCACCCTGCATGGCATTGTCCTTCATTATCTCAATCAGGTGCAGATGTAAAACTCCATTTCATTACTAAAAACTGTATTCTCTAAAATACTCGATGTGCCAAATTGCAAGTATTATTTCTTGAATACCTGATAAGTTTATTAGCTAGATCCTTAGTTTTATTTGATATTGTATTGTAGAATTTTGCTGAATTGGGAATGACTCTACATTCTAAAGCTTTAATTGGTTTGTTCCATGGTCAGAATGCTTGTAAGAAAAATCCTTTTGGTGTCCCCAAGAAGAAGGTAGAGTAAGTATCACCTCTTGATAATTAACTTCTTGTTAGTAACAAGTTTTAACATATAAATTCAAACCAAAATAAAGAAACATCTATATTATCTATATCCATTAACAAGTGGGTTGACCGGAATGATAAAGATTAAGTTTTCAAACTGTAGGTGAATGCACTGTTTTATATGATTTCTGTGTTTTTCCAGAACCCTATCTATCCTGGGCGCGGGATTAATGGGAGCAGGTATTGCCCAGGTGTCTATTGATAAAGGAATGAGGGTGATAATGAAGGATATGTCAGTGAAGGGGCTGGCTAGAGGTGAAGATCAGGTACAGAAAGGATTTGATAAACAGGCGAAACGAAAGAAGATTACCACGTAAGATGAAATTATTTTGAACAACTAAATTTGGTTTGGAATCTTGTTTAAACATTTTGAATTGTTATTAAGAGAGTAGGCTCACTACCTAGGAGGTCAAGCATTTTTGTGTTTGATTTTTTTTAACTATAAATTGGTCTTTAGTCATGTCTTAAGCTATTATGCTGTATTATCTGCCTCTCGGAAAAGTGGGAAGTTTCCTCAAATAACACTTGAAACCACTAAAACGATGCGAATACTGCCAAGATGTATATCAAAGTCAAACCGTTGTATATATTATTTATATTCTAGAGCCGAGCGAGATCTGATTATGAGTAACCTAGAGCCAACGTTGGACTATAACAATTTTAAATCATGTGATATGGTAATAGAAGCTGTATTTGAAGATATTAATATCAAACATAAAGTTATTAAAGAAGTGGAAAAAGTAGGTCTTCATGTCTAGCTCATATTATGAACTTAGTCTTATACCTTGACTACATTAGGTTATTTGTTAATGCAGCGATTTGATTGAATTGTACAGGCTGTTAGTATCTCTAATTCATGCCAATCTAAATTGTTTTTAATCTGTTTGTTGAATGCATTGAATGGCTGTATACATATTTGATATTTAACTTGTGAAGATGCTTTGGAGATAGAGAAAACATCAGCCCACAGCAGTAATTAAAAACTATCAATGTTTTTTTTGATAATTTTCAGCATATACCAGAGCATTGCGTATTTGCATCAAACACCTCGGCCTTGCCGATATCCCAGATAGCTACTGCTAGCGCCAGACCAGAGAAAGTTATCGGCATGCATTATTTCTCACCTGTTGATAAGATGCAGCTGTTAGAAATTATCACTACAGATAAAACATCTAAAGACACTACAGGTAGGTCTTATAACAGTTAAGGCCATTTTCCTTTGACGTCTATTTCACACAATCTGTTTATTGTTAATTTTAAATCTTCAGTGTATTTTAAATTCTTTTTTATTATAAACAATATTTATTTCCACGCTTGATTGCTTGTGGAAGATCAATGAGGTTGTTTCCGCTCTTCTGACGTCATTCCTCATCCAATCAGCGACCAGATATCATCTCATTACAAAGACCTTCTACTAAGACCTAGCTTATATTTATTTACCTGTTCCTCTTAGAGAAATTTTGTTTCTTAACCAGTTGATACTCTGGTTGTTTCTGATCTTAAAATTTGGCTCTATAATCCCCTGAATTATATTTCTAGCCTCTGCTGTAGATGTAGGGTTAAGACAAGGTAAAGTTGTTATCACTGTAAAAGATGGTCCTGGTTTTTATACCACTAGAATCCTGGCACCTATGTTAGCTGAAGCAGTCAGATTATTACAGGTATGGTTGGTGATAATTATTTTTAAATTCTTCACTTCTGATGAATGTACTACACCCTGTGCACCAAAAAAGACTAGGGTGTTGTCGCTGTCCTCTATGTATACAGAATGGAGTTGCCCTTCTTCACTACCCCAGGTGCAGGAAAGCAGGATGCAAGTCTCCTTTCATTTCTATTTCTTGTTCTGCTGTCTTCAATTAATGCATCCTTTAGATTTATGACTCTTATGTCCGCGAATACTCCTCAAGGAGTATGCTTTTGAGCTTTTGAACAAGACGTAATTTTTCTTTTTATATTTTTCATCATTTTCAAAATAATTTTGTTGTTTTCCTGATACAGGAAGGTGTGCCCCCAAGTAAATTAGATTCTCTAACCAAGAAATTTGGGTTCCCTGTGGGTCTAGCCACACTAGCTGATGAAGTGGGTATTGATGTAGCAGCCCATGTGGCAGAAGATCTGGGAAAAGCTTTTGGTGACAGATTTGGTGGAGGCAATGTACAAGTATTGAAAGAAATGGTAGAGCTGGGATATTTGGGTATGTATATTCGCAAAGATATCGGACAATTGATAATGTATAAGACTTCTTCACATTGTTGTTTCACAATGTCAAGCTATTACAAACTTCGTACTTTCTTATATCACAGAATGCAGCGATTTGATTGGATTGTACGCTAGAGAATACAGCCGATCAGTGCCCTCGACATAAAGGCTGTTTTTTCTATTATAAATTAGGTATTTTTGACTGGATTGTATATCTGGAAATTTGATATCTTTGCTAACTTTGTGTATTTTCATTTTTATAGGTCGTAAGTCCGGTAAAGGAATGTATATCCACACTCCTGGTTCCAAAGTGAAGGAAGAAAATGAAGAAGGATTGAAATTATTAGAAAAATATAAACTTCCTGAACAGTCTGCGTAAGTTGATGTATTATTTGATAATCAAACAACGAAGATGTGTGTGTGTATGATAAATTGGAATAACAAAACAAATGGGCACTGCACAGTACATTTTGAAATATATTTTCAGTACTTTTCCTTTCAAAATATCTCAAATCCATGTCTGTATTTCTTGACTCTGTCTGTTATATGCCATTTTCAACACTGATACATGTGTATTATCATCGACGTCAATTAAATCATAGTGTTGGGTATTACTAATCATGATATTTTATGGAATTTGAAAAGAAACACCTCAGTCCTCAGACCAAACCTTTATTAATGTATATTTTCATTTCGTAGTAATTCTGATGAAGATATCCAGTACAGATTATTTTCACGATTTGTTAACGAGGCTATCATGTGTCTACAGGACGGTATTCTCTCTAATCCTGTAAGTTACTTTCAGTTTATTTCTAGAGTAAATGAATCAAACTTCATTAGCATATTTTTCTTGGTCTAGGTTGATTAAACTGTTCAGTTGCATTCCACCTTGCGTGTAAAATCCAGTGTTAACTGAATTCCTATCTTCGTTTCAAGACATTGGCAGTTGTATCATTTATTTTTTCTACCTAAATAAAGTATCAATAACTATTATTGTATTTCAGCTGGATGGAGATATAGGAGCTGTTTTTGGTCTTGGATTCCCTCCATTTTTAGGCGGTAAGTACTTTCGGAAGCATCATAAATTTTCCAACCCACAGCACCTAATCATCTAGCAGACGACAATCAAACTTGCTACCTACAGATCTATTCCACTGCCTCATACAAATTCATTATCATTAGATCTGATTGGGAAAGGCATTTGAGCCAAAAATTAATAACGAATTCACTGAAAGATTCTTATTTCTAATTTGCCATATTCATAATGTTTGAAAATTATTTTTTCAGGTCCATTTAGATATATAGATTTACACGGAGCAGTAAATATAGTCGATAAAATGAAGCGTTACGAAGAAATTTACGGAAATCAGTTTACACCTTGTCAGTTATTACTTGATCACGTCAACAATCCTTCCAAAAAATTCCACGTTAAAAAGTGAACAAAGGGACATAACTTAGAATAATTTAAATTTACTTGCCAGTTTCTCGAAAACTGTACTGAGGATAACATGAGAATTCCAGCCATCTGATTGGTCAATCACTAAAATTGAATTGAATTTATCGTCATTTAGTTTTCTATAATTTGTCTCCTGGTTTCTGGATGAAGTCTTGGTGTTCTTGGAAGGGTTTTAATTTGATTCTGGTGTTAAAACCAGAAAGACAGGGTTGTTAAGCTTTGTGTTGTTCTGTTATTGGAATTCTAGTTTTCAGGAACAAATATTCTAATGAGGCAGTTTTTCTTAAAGCTTGCCGGATTCTAATTTTTAATTCAAGTTGATCAATCGCTTTAAACTCATGAACTTCATCCAGTATCCAGCCAAAATATTTATACAGAAAAATCAAAGCTCAATTATTAATTCAAATTCCACTTCATCATCAAAATCTTTAAACTTTCACAATTAATTGGTAAAAGATTTCTGAAATATTTCATATTTTTTGTCAAAATGGTTTCCATAATGAATTGCTTACAAGTTTAACTTGTTAGAACTGTGCAGTTTTTGTGGTTATCCACCGTGCCTTCTCCAGTATGCCAATGTATCAGGATTAGGTTTTGTATGAATATCAGTGTTAGGTTGTGATAAAAAAAAAAACAGCTAACACCTGGCAACTGTTACAAATTCTGTCTATGGGATGCCTTTATTTTACCTTCACCAGGATTTGATCTAGCAAACAACTCTGAGGCTACCGTACCATAGCTTACTACACAGACATTATTGGCTGTAAGGCTTTAAATCACACATACAAAAGTTAACCCTGCTCATTGATACAACTATCTGGATCTATATTTAACATCATTATAGTGCTAATACAATTATTATCATTCATATTCTTATCAGACAAAGATATCTGTGCCTGTCTGAGCCCCAATTCGAAACATGAGCATAAGTCTACTTTATTTTAAATTGGTTTAAGTAACAATCGGCATCCAGTACTATTTATTCTACCTAAAATGAACTGCCAGTGGGCGTATGTTACCTTGCCTCACAAGCTATCTTTATGAAAATAAACTTAACTGTTCGTGACTATGTTTTGAATAAGACTCAGATAAACAAAATATCTTTGCCTGATTATAACTGTATCTAATTATTGATAGAAGTTGTTTGTATATTAATAGAACAATATTGTACATATTGTTTGAATTTCATGTATTAATATTTTACTCTGCACATCAACTGAAAAGGGGGGTGGGGCTTCAAAATAAAGCCAGAGATCCGCTTCACAATTCCAATATGTCTGAACAAGGCCAATAACTAATTCTATTGTTAAAATGACAGCCATGTTTTCAGTTAGGTTTAACCTTAGTTTATCTTCAAATTATTGTAATATTTCTATTGTTATAAAAAAATACAAAAATTTGATAAAAATTGTAGATTTTTGTTATAAACATGATTTTATGTATGGAAGCATTCATCTTATCGTCAAGTCTTTGAATGGGACAATAAATCAGGCCCTGTGTGCAACAGACAGTGCACTTTAAAGATCCTTCGACAGTTGCAAATCTGTCCTGAAAAATTCCTCGTTGCACCCAGCATGGCGTTGCTTGTACAGAAAAGTAGGACGTAAAACTCTGTTCAATTCAATCATCAACTTTGTCCATTCCTCTCTTGTGATGCCATGAGTCGTCTTAAGGTTCTCTGGTGGGTACAAGTTTGTAGACAACCTTTGTTAGTGTATATATATACCTTTTAATTTGGTCTTAATACATAGTGCTAGACTCATTTCTATAAATGCTTGAGAAGCTGTTAACAGCTGCAGAATCTACCACCCTTAAGGGTTTTTCACACCATGACCATTTTCAAATGGGAACCAAATGAGGTTTATATGTGATTCCAGTTGGGTCTAACTATATATAGAATACCCTTAACAAGCTATAGTATAGACGTCAGAGTTTTGACACATTTGGCAGAGCAACAATATTACCAGTTATAGGGGCAGTTTTGTGACTTCTTGATCAATTGCCAGTTATTTGTTGTCTGTATGCCAATTTTGTGCCCTTTTTCTTGTGGTTGTCTGTGTCCAAAATAAACTTCCGGTTCGGACAGGAAAAGTGATGCATTGTGGTAGAATGACATTAAACATGGAGGCTTTCGATTCAGTTCATGCAAGACCAGCTCCGTTTTGGAGAAATGGACCTCAACCAGGAGGTTTATACAACTTTTCAAATAACTCAACGACTTCACGAAACACTTCAGAATCCCAGAGATCTGCTTATCCAGTTGTCACAGGGACGTCTGTCCTGGGACTTAAGTTTAATGGCGGTGTTATCATTGCAGCAGATATGCTTGGTTCATACGGTTCTTTGGCAAGATTCAGGAACATTTCTAGATTGAATCGAGTCAATGATTCCACTGTGATTGGATGTGGAGGCGACTATGCTGATTATCAATTCTTGAAAAGCGTCATCGAGCAGAGAGTCATTGATGAGGAGTGTTTGGACGACGGTTTCGGATTCACACCAAAAAGTATGTTTTCATGGCTGACGAGAGTTTTGTACAACAGAAGATCAAAATTTAATCCATTATGGAATGTCTATGTAGTTGCTGGGTTACAAGATGAAGAACCATTCCTTGGCTACATTGATAAAATTGGTGTCGCTTACGAATCGCCTTCTATTTCATCTGGTTTCGGATCTCATATTGCTTTGCCGATTTTACGAGAAGAGATGGAAAAGAACCCAAATATGAATGAAAAGGATGCAACTGAATTGATCCAGAGATGTATGAAGCTGTTATACTATAGAGATGCCAGATCCCTTAATAAATACCAATACGCCGTCATCACCAAGGCTGGTGCCAAGATTCATGGTCCAATTGTTCCTGAATCAAATTGGGAGATTGCTCATCTAATTCAAGGATATGAATAAGACTCTCATACACCTATTTTTATAAGGCTTCATCAATGATCAAGATCGGCAAGGCTGGAAATAATGTGATAGCCATGTATTTGACTTGCATACAGTCATCAGCTAAAGATATCAATTCTATCTATCTATTTAGGCTAAGCTATTTGCTTGACCAGCTGAAAGAGCTAAATTTCAGCTTATTTCTGTACTATTGCTTGAATTGTTTCCAATTTTGCGACTGTCAAATTATTTTCAGCCTTTGCCAGAAGAATATACGAGCTAACTATACTGACTTTAGTGACATTAAGATTTCATGTGAAATTTTCATTGTTATTTATTCATCCATCTTGAATGTCATCTGATAAATATTGTTATAAAATTTCAATGAATGACTTATTGGTTCTGAATCTTAAAAAGACTCCATTATTATATAGCCAACTTTTCATTTGTAGTTAAAAGGTTTCTTGTATTCAAGGAATGCTTCACAGGGAATAACATCTATAATGCAAAAAAAAACAAGCGACTTCTTCTTGTCAACTTAGTCCAAAATGAAAAATACATCTTTAGTAACGCCAGCATTTATTTATATGATTTGACAGGTCTTTAGTCCAGAGATTTTGTCTAAACAATTGAAGATCTTATACAGTTGTGCCATCTTTTTTTTAACCCATGGACATCTGCATCCACTGATGGTATTAAATGATAACAAGCCATAGTTAGATACAAAATATACAAATTTTATTTGTAAGAGATCTCATAATTTTAGAAAATATATATCTGGTTAGATGTTCAGATTACAACAATGTCTTATTTTACACCCATATTGACATGGATCAAAATTGCTGAGTCACTGTCAATTATCCTCATGGAGTTTTACGCTGAACTGTTCTACATCTAATTGTACAGATACAAAATTAGAACAAAGCAAATGGTTTAATGAGTGGCAACAGGTAAGCATGGAAGTAGATCCTTCAATAACAGCCCTTGAAATGGGGCCCACTGTCATTACTAGTCGTTAAGTGGCAGGCCTTCTAAGACTGAAGGTAAACAAGCAATAAGGTGTTATGCCATTAAAATTTTCACCAAAGAATTAAACTTAATATTTTATAGTGGTGGTGCCATTCAAATTTTTTGCTTTAAGAGTTTCTTAATCATTTTAGAGGGGAATATTAAACGTTTTGCCATAAAAATAAATTCAGCCTGTCATGAATACTTAAAATTCTAAAATAAATTTACACAAGTATGATATAATAATATTTGCGTTTTAAAAGCATCTGTAAGATAAAGATGAAATCAAAGGGCTAACACACCTTCTCTTTTCAAAGAAACTATAAAGTTTATTGGAAATGAGAGAGTCCCTCTATGTTAATTTTCATCCAGGAATCAAAATAAGTAACATAACATAATTATTACAATACATGAGCATTTTACACTGAACACAAAATTTTGATGTCCATTCTCTTATCACAGTGTCAAAATCATTTTCATGGATATTTATTTAAAAAATGGAATAATTTTGGAGATAAACCATTCATCAGTGATTCTCAAATGATTTGAATCAGAACTCAGGAGATGTAGACGTCCAGTCTCATTTAATTTCTTTAATCCAAGCCAGTCCTGAAAATAGAATTAGGATGATTAAATTAAGTTCCCAACCTGGGGTGTTTTCAACCCCTGGGGGTGTGGCCAACTGGTGTAGGAGAAGAATTTATTTTGAATTGAGAGAGCACCTCAGATCATCACATGCTGAAAAGGTGGATGAAGGTGAAAAAGGTCCAGGTGATTGCTCCAGGGGTGTGAAGACTGAAAAAGCCAGTCCTGAAAATAGAATGATCAATTTAGGAGGAATTCAAATTTCAATAATGACTTATAAATGAAGCCTTTAAAGATTTAGTTTAAGAGACTTTGAAGGAAGATACATGTTGTTGAAAATGCCAGAAAGTTAAATATTAAACAAAAACTTTATTTCCTATTACAATCAGCATTGTAGAGCTCTATCATCAAACTTTATTTTTACAAATTATTCAGCATTCTCTTCTTTTAAATTGATTTCTAAATATAGTTTCATTAACCAATCAGGCAACAGAATTTCTTGATTATCTAATTTAGGATTTTTGTGGATCATTATTTCAGATAAACGAAGCAATTATGATGAAAATACTGAGAATCACTTTACCTCTTTGTACAGTTGAGTTTGATTCATTGTCAGTATTTGTTTACCTTGGCCTTCTTTATAAAACCCAAACCACTGTAACAAAAACAATATATATATTGACTAATTCATCCAACAAACACCACGTCAATATACCATTGTTCATGAGTATGTCCTACTATTCTACATCTAAATGGTCTGTAACATACATGACCTAAGTTTATTGTCCAATCCAAGGCTAAAAGTTTATTTCAAGTCAACCCCACCCTACCTACCTCCCCCCCGAATCTTTATCACTGACAAGAAGAAGCAGGAACTGAAATCTGAACCTATCAGATATATATCAAAATGCCGACTTTTTTTAATGAGCTCATAACACTACATAAATTAATAATCTCCCTGTATTAAGATATTAAAATATATAATCTAACCTCACTCTCTTTAGGATCGACCATGGTATCTTGTAGAAACTTGACTAGTACCAAATTCTTCAGTTTCAATAGATTCTCTTTGTAAACAGGGTTCTTTACCTGCAGATTATTTATTTTGAATATAAAAACTATTATTATGATGAATGTTGTGGAGCCTTAGTTAAGTTTAGCTTTAACAATACAAGTCCAGCATTCAGTTAGTGGCTGTTGCGTTTCTTTATTGAAAAGTTGGTCATATCAATAGGCTACTGAAGGCGAGACAAATTGTTTTTTGGAACTGTTTTATAACAGCAGACAACTGCACAAGTTGTGTCATATCAATCGAATACTGATCATAAGAAAAAGCTTTTTTATGGGAAATCATCTAATATACATTGAAAACAAAAGCAGAAAGACATTAATGGTCTACAGACAGGTCAACCTCCGGTAATAATGGTTAGGTGTCAAATTTTTAAAATTCCCGCTAAGGCATAAAAAATTTCTCACCCTTTCTTGATTAATATCAGCCAGAAAAACACTCTTCTCTCGATATTCAGCCATATTCAAAGGATCCTGCCAGTATTCAGCTTGGACCAGGCTACAAATAATAAAATATTCATACTTCTTTCTCAATGAATTAAACACATCACTAAACAAGACCAATATTCAAAGAAATCATTCACATTAAATATTCAAAAGAGGTTCCTGCAATCATTTTCAGACAGACTTGGCACTAAACAAGACCAAAATTTACAGAGAACCAGTGTTGATGGGAAGTGATTTCTCTCCTATGTTGATAGTTATTATTGATAGTTATTATAGATAGTTATTGTTGATAGTTATCAAGAGACGGGCTATTCAGGAGAATCATCTAATCCACAAGGTAAATAAAACTAAGTTGGTGAAAAAAAAAAAAAAAATTTATGGTTTAAGATTTAACTTACTGGTCTTGAACAAAGCTGAAATATAAAATAACTTTATCATTGTATATCAAATAGTAGAGAAGTAAGACATGTAACTAATATTTTCAAATATTTTGTAAGCATATTAATCAACCAATTCCTCATTTCTTATTTGTAGAATTTTTGCACTAAGAGAAATATGACAAAGATTTATTGAAAGGTTTTTCATAAAAAAGGGGCCACAATCATTAATTACCAACTGTCAGACAGCAGACCACAAATAAAATAAATTTGAACTAACCTTACATACGCTCCAATGTTTAGAAGTTTCCTAACATAATCACACAAAGTAGAATTATCACCAGGGCAACGTGGGAAACCATACACACCTGATGGTAACGTATGATAAAATAAAGTGACAGACAGAAAGAGACTACCATTATTTACAAGGATAACAACTTAGGTTCAAGAGAAACCTATCTACTGGTCCTTGACCAAAACATTTTTTAATAATTTGACAAGGATAACAACATAGATTCAACATGTCTACCTGCTGGTCCTTGACCTCGCAGCAACCTCGCAGCAATGATTTAACAAGGATAATAACTAAGATTAATAAGGATCCTGTCTACCAGCTGGTCCTTGACCAAACTGAATGTCCACATGGCATTGATCTTTCCAGGATTATCCAGCTGGAATAGGAAGGAGATGACTTTTACATGCCGACTGACAGACATCATGTCAACAATCTAACAAACTAAGCTACAGAACCCCTGAAATTTGTCCATAAAAGGTGAGGTTACCTTGGTGCTGGCCTCCAACAGACACCAGATTATTCATGCCTGGTGTTGGACATCTCTGGGCTACAGCTCTCCTGCAAAACAAATCTATTCATTATGAATTCACAGTTAAATCATTTTCCGACAACTTTAGGCACCAGTACAAATTTATTAATTATTATGAAGCCTAAGACTTATATCATTTCATACTGTGATATATAGTAAAATGATGATAGAAATTATGTGCTGCATTTCCAAACCCAGTTTATATCTGAATTATGTGTGTGTAATAACAAGAATAAGTAAATCACCCACCCACTCTCGTCTCTCCTATAAAACTTACAGAAACTGTCCTCCTTGTGAGAACCCAATAGCATTATAACCTTTCTGTAATTTAGTATCATTCTGTATCTTCTTACAAGCCATTGTAATCTGTTTGTTTACATTCATCAAAAATCCATTCTCCATGTCCTGAATATAAAAGTGAACCAATTTGATCTCTTTTCCTTACATTAACATAAGCTTAGAGTCAGTGTTGAACGAGTTTTTCAAATAGGTTCGGCTCGGACCATGCATAAGAATTCACTTAAATGTTAATTAACATTATAGATACTTGAAGCAAGAAGTTGAACTTGAAAAGGGACCCTACCCCTGCATGTCATTCAAAACCTACCTCTGCGATATTATTTCCGATCTCCAAAGATCTGACATAGATTCCAGGAACTTGTTTTTCTATCAATGTTTTAATTGAGCCCATACTCAATGGATTACAGCAGCTGTCACCTGTAATATAAAATTTGGTTGAACCATCACAATATTTTACATAAAACTTGTAATAAAGATTGATTTGATTCAATTCGACAGAAGAACTATAGGCTTGCACAATTGGCATTACTATGTTGATAGGCCCGAGCCCGACTTATTCATTAATCTATACATTGCCATATATGCATCTAGTTTTGTAGTCCTAGAAATAAATGAAATGAAATGATTGGAGTTTTACATCCATACCATGTATGCACTGAGGGGAATTTTGCCAGGACAGCAGCATTAGCAAACGTTTTGGGGGTTTGCAAATGTCAAAGGAACTTTAGTGTATACAATCTGTTGTCCCAACCGAACTACTAGAAGCGTTTTCCATGTCAGCCCCTGTGGCATGCAAGAGTGCAAGTGTTTCTCAATCGAGCTCAAACAAATTCACTTCCGAGTTTGTGAGACTGTGATTTTAAGTCTAAGACTAACGGCTACACGAAGTAATGGCAGAGATTCGGCAAAGACTCTCACCCATCCCATGCCAGATGACAACTGGGAGTACATCTTGTTTTGAATATTTGATGAAATAACAAACAAAAAACAGCACAATCGTCTTCATGTTAATGGTCTTCATTTTTTTTATCATGTGATCAAAACAATGAGTAATCATGTCCTAAATCTTTTATTTTTCAAAAAGTCAAGCAAGATTTCAATCAATGGACGAATGTGAGCAGCAATCAATTTTGATTAAAGAATTTTCTCAATAATTAAAATTGTTCAAGATTTAGGTGGTTGACAAGAAAGAAAATGCATTTCTAAAGAATTTGTAAATAGAAGCAATAACTTTTCCCTACAACATAGGAAACCGCCTGGAAAATAGAGTACGTGACGTCATATTACATCTCTGGTTAACCAGTCCCGATTTTAAAGAATCAAATTCTACAAAAGTTGTGTCTGGAATAATCTCGACTGTATCAAGGGAAGATAACTGTAGACGGCGAAACGACGAAAGGAAGAAATTGGTTGTGTTTTGATTATTGATTACAATTTGTGTTTTGAAGACTTCTCAGCGTGTTGAAGACTATTCACCTAACAGTTAGCTAATAACCGTGACACGATGGCGTCTGCTAGCGGTTTGTTCTGTTTTCGTTGCCTGAACAGTGTTAACAAAGTGACTTTGATACCGAATTTTCGACAAATAGCGAAAACAGACAAATTTACTATTTCACCTTTCCAACTGTCAACATTGAACTTTTCTCAGAATTTTCAGACACGGAATAAAAGTTCGATGCACAGAAATTTAAGCAGAGCCTTATATGACGAGTCTTCCACTAAGGATTTAATTTACAGCTTAGAACCCAAGGAAAGAAGTTTACTTTTTGCTGAAATGCAAAAGTTTGAGCAGAGACGTCTGGAATCAGAAGGTTTGTATGGCTTTTATACTTTTTAATTCAATTAGATCTAAATAATTCATTGTAAACCCAATTAGATCTTATCAAGTGCATGTAATTTGTCTTATAAATGTCTTTGGATTCATAGAAATCTAAGCTTTAAGCTTGAAGGATGTTGTCATTGTCAATTTTTAAACAGCCTTAGCAGTAGCTGTTAAAAAAGGTTATTTAATTTTACATGTGAAATACACACACTTGGATCTAGATCTACCTCAAAGAAAATTTCACATGAATTAATCAAATTTCAGACTTGTAAGTTTCTTTGAAATTGATTACTTAAAACAGCTTTATTGTAATTTTGTGATGGAATCGTATCTGTTGTACAACAAAGTTGTCATTAAGAAGTGACACGTGAAGTTTTATATCATATTGCATGAATAATTAAAATCCTGGTTGTCGAGTTTCAATGTCCCTTGATAATTAATGAACAGATTTTATACTTGAATACTTAGCTTAGCAACTAAATCACATTACTTGCAAGGAGTCTGTTATTTTAAAAATTCTATGTATATCAGTTTGTTTTAGGTTTCTGTTGTCAGATTGACATGGACAAGCATTAATTGAAAATGTTTGAATACCAAGTCAAATACTTTTCAGGGCTTCACATTCTTTAGAGTGATGATTACTGCAAGAAGTGTTTGGAACTTCGATCAGACCTGATTGGCATCTATTTGACTAACAAAAATGTGAAGGATCAACAACTTCTTGTCTGCGTTGACAGTTAACAAATAAACCTGATCCAGAACCCTGATCTCATGGAAAAGCTTTCATTAATCTCATCTACCACATGTAGGGGTGAATACATTTATGGTAGAAAGAGGTTAATTATTATGGTTAATAGAGCTAATAGTATTTCCAAACATAAGCTGCAGCACTTTTCTTGATGATGTTTTTCTCCAAGACATTTTGTTGACTACCTACAAACAGATAGCCATGTTTAGATAAGTTGATGTTCAAGTGTTTAAGTAGCCAGTGTTGTGAAAAATTCTCTGTTCACTGTCAAGAGCTTCCAAATAAATAAAGAGTGAATTTTCTAATAAAGCTTATGTATGATAGTCAGAGATATCAGCTTCTGTTGGAAACATTAACTTGAAATTTACCAACCAACCAACTAAGCCTTTTCAATTCTCACTCGATCGTCAGAGAAATGTTAAATTTGATTATAAAAGTCCTTCAAAGGTGGTTTTTATTCTGTAATGGTAATCTATAAATAAGCTTAAAGAAGGGAAAAGTCAGTCAAGAATGGATGATGATAAGAAAATGTGTAAAATTGAAAATAATCTTGGTACGGTAATAATCTATAGAGAAAGAAAAGCCAATCTAAAATTGGATGATGATAAAAATTGAGTCAAGCCATCAGAAATTGTATAGAAATAGAAATAGAATTTGTTTCCAATAGTTAGATATTGATTTGTATAAACAAAAGACATTGGCTCTGGAATGACTTAACATGACAGCTGATTTATGGCTAGTAGTCTTGTACTGTCAGCTGACAGCTGTCTTCTTGTCACCTGGTTTAGTTCTTATAGCTCCCTAGAGATGTGGACTTAGCAGTTTGTCCGTATTTAGAAACAATCTGATGTCGAGCAAATCCCAAAAGGCATATTTGGTTCTTTTTATCTATAGATGATCCGTTCTCAACCATTTTTGGTTGGCAGTCACTTTTCAGTGAAAAATGACTCCATGGTCCTTTTGTTGGTCAAGCATATGTGGCTTCAAATAAATAGACCTCACAGTCCTACATGTATATGGGACTGAGGACCACAGGTTGAAATGATTTTATATTCAAGACTAGAGACAAGTGTATACTTAAAGTGATACTATGTCTTAGAATGAACATAAAATATAAGTTCTCGAAATGGTCAATATGAGTATATATTCATCAGTTAGCTTACCTGGTGTCATAAAGTTACAACAGAATCCCTGATATTAAGCGTTTTTCAATAGTTAATTGCATATTTATGGATACTTACTAAGTTTTTTGGATTTATCGGATTATATAAGGATCCTGTTATGTTATTTATGACACCAGGTATATCTACTGGCTCTTATTTGCCAAGTTTAAAATTCTTAAATTTTATATTAATTAAATAATAATATAAGACGTAGTATCACTTTAATGTGGTATTAACAGGATGTTTAAGGCCCATCAATTTTGCCATCGATCAAACATTGTTTGAAGAAGACTATAAATTTAAAAGTGTCATTATAAGAGACTTGATTGACAACTACAAGAAAACTGCCTAAGAATCAATAATACTTATGATATCATCATTGAGTAATTCAGACTGTGATCTATATACAGTGAGTTCAGACAAAATAAAACTATCTTTTATCACGATCTTTACAATCATCACGAATCAAGATTGATAATTATAGCAATGCTTGCTTATATGATAAATTAAATGGCTGCCAAAAAAGCGATAGTATACCTTTTGTATAGATTCAAGATATACCTTTCTTTGTGGTATATCATAATATATATCAGGATATCACAATATAAATCAGGATATCACAATATATATCAGGATATCACAATATATAAGTCAGGATATCACAATATATAAGTCAGGATATCACAATATATATCAGGATATCACAATATAAATCAGGATATCACAATATATATCAGGATATCACAATATAAATCTGGCTATCATGATATATATCAGGACATCACAATATAAATCAGGATATCACAATATAAGTCTGGCTATCATAATATATATCAGGTACAAATGGCATGGATTATTTTGATGGTATAGACTATCTCTCTACCCCATTTACTAACTAACTCTTTACTAATTGTTTGCTTGAATTTAGCCGCGATGGCGACTCACTACTCTGGAGGTCCAGGGTTTAATCCTTTTCCAAGTTGGTTTCCCCCTGTTAGTTATGCAGTTCAGAGGGACTCACAAAAAGTGTTATGGGATGATAAACCGAGGTCAAACTATATGAAACTATAATTCAATTTTTTCCTATTTTTCAGGAAAAGGTCCAGAAATCCCTCCAAGCCTGACACAACTCAGGATCTGTAAGTATTTGTATTCAGTATTCAAAATAAGGGTTTTATTTTATCTTTATACAAAAATGGCATTGCCAATTACTTGCAAGCTTATTGTGAATAAGAAAATAGAAAATGAGTATCTTATAGAGTCAAGCTTATTATTTAGTTTAAGTTTGTATTTTGAGTTAAGATTAAGATTAATTTTAATTAAATTAGTTTATTTTGAATACTATAAACTGAACAGTAATTGTCAGAATCTTGATTTCATACAGTATTAGACATTATATGTCTGACAAATGATAATACCAACAGATCTCTCGCTATAAATGACATTGACTGCTGTTTAGTCAAGAAATTTGTTCTATGATTTGCAATAACTGGAGACATTCTGATCATATTAGAGAGAGTGAGATGAGCATGGGTAGATAAAGAATATATTTACATACTGTGTACACATAATCGCAATAAACTAATTGCAGACTAGGAATCAATACCTTTCATATTCAAGCTTAAAGATCCCCATTATCAGATGCAGGAGTATAAAAGAATATCACTTTAAACTGAGAGGGTCAAAATCTCTGAAAAGTGTTGTGTGAAATCAAATAGGGTTTTCAGTTAGTTGGGCAAAGTGACCTTATGATTGGTTAAGGCAGAGGCCATCAGCTTAGGTCAAAAGGTTTTTGGAATGAATGTTGAAGAGCGTCATAGGACCCTCACTGTAGTGGCTATATTAAGAAGTAAAAGCTAATAAAAAACGAACAAAAGTTTGGAATGTTTTTAATTAGACTTTGTTAAGCTAAACCCAGAAAGATAATGATGTTTTCGCTAGTGCTGTGAGATGAGACCCAAACCAGTCGATGTATTATTTCAATCTCTTCCAAATAAACCAGTCGATTCTCGTAGAAATGACAAATTAAATGGCTAATAGGACTGGAGTAGAAGATATATTTAATGTGTAATCTTAGTTCTAGTCATGTAACTAATTATTACTCTATATTCTTCTTCAGTTTATTTTAAACATTTTCATTGATTTCTGAATATTTCTTGTCATTTCATTACTCAACTTATTTTTTAAATTCAAAATCACCATGAACTAGAATAAATCATGTGATATTCAGTTTGGTTACATTCTAGATCAAGATGTTGAGTTTCTGTGAGTTATGCACCTCTGTATTAGTTTCATTCTTATATAGGTGAAGATCAAGATGCATGGGCAGGGACTAGACAGGATCGTTCTGAACTTAAGCCAATATCTGGTAAAGTCCTAATCAAAATCTGGAGAATTTAAAGAATCATAAAAACCTGTTCCATATGAAAGGGTTTGCTCATATGTAATCACATGCTTCACGTGTGGGTTTATATACAAAATAAATGGTAAAAATTACTTTGAGCAAGCGTGTAAATCAGCTGGTTTGAAATAACTTTACATCATTAATATATATTATCTCTGTGCAACATGCCAGGTTAACTCGCTATAGGATAAAAATGGTAGTTAAATATTTTTCAAGAGTTTCTCACGTGTTGAAGAGATGATGGCTGAAACTACTTACAATATTTGATTTTGATCCAGCTGTAAAATACGGATAATCCAGGAAAGATCAATGCCAAGAGGTTTGGCCAAGGACCAGCTGGTAGAAAGATCTTCTAGAATCTAAGTTGTTATCCTTGTAAATATAGTTTTTTTTTTCTTCAGTGAATTTTAACATGAATATTTCTGTATTTCATTTTCAGTGGCTGTCCACAATATGTTACCGTTTATTGGTTTTGGATTTTTAGACAATTTTCTCATGATTGTAGCAGTAAGTACTCGTTATTTTATTTCTATTCCCCACTCCCAGGTTGTTTGGAATATTTCTTAGTGTGATAGAAAGTCAAGAAAAGCAAATAAATAAGCTCTAATGACTGGCTAAGGCAAACAGACCAAATGCCTGATGTCTGATATAAAGTGTTTGTTTTGAATCAGTTCATAACCTGACTGTTGCCAGTGTTGGGTCAAGATGGAACAATAGCCTAATGATGTCCGTGGGGAATAGACTGGTGTTTGTCAACTGGCATTCTATTTACATTCTCTTTCTCGATGTTTTATGACCATGAACATGTTAAGCCCATTTCCCTTTCCGATATCAGAAGACATCAAGAGAACGAAGTGACTCTAATATTGATAATGAATAGGCTGTCAAAACTGATAAAGGTATGGGACTCATTACATCTTTAGGATGTCTAAAGATATCTGCTTCCATCTTGTAAATTATGGAGATTCCAACACTGTTAGGCTTGTTTATATGTGTTTAATTTATTCTGATGAAAATTTATAATTCATAAGGAAAGTAAAGAAAAGCAGATTTTCAAATGCTGTTTATTAACGATCATGAAATGTTGACCAACTTCTGTCCTGATTTTTTGTTTTTCAAAACAATAAGATGTGTCACTAGCATGAGTTGTTGTCAATAAAAGCGTGTTAACTTTATATTTTTCTTATAAGTACCAGCAGGTTTTCTAAAACTGTTTTACGATTATCCAGTTTATACAAACTTTATCACACAAATTATTCTTTAACCAGATTTCCATCACGTCTTGTGTCCTGTGGGAGTCTACTACTGTTTTATTTTAGTTCTAATTCTCCTTCACCAAATTATATTATTACCGTTCATTGTGTTAGCTATGATAGACAAATACGACACACATTGATTCAAATTACTAAGTAACTATTATTTTCTTTGAAAATGTTCCACACAATTTGATTCTTTGATTCAGTGATTGGTCTACTAAATAAATATTATTTCTGTTGAGAATGTTACATGTTATGTGATTTTCATAAAACTTGGTGAATTTTCTGTGCATGGTTTATATTCTATATACAAGAGCATGAGATGAGTTGTGTTAATTTGGCATGAGAAATCATTGTACAATCCCTTTGAAAACTGAAATGTTGTATCACTTGATTAAACAGTGGTAAATAAGAATCCCAGACTTTCTCTATTAAGAGAAATTGCTCAATTTTTCTGGCTAGTGGTATTTTTTTGTATTTTTGCATAAGACCACTAAATATTTGGTTGGAGAAATAGGAAATGACTTCCAAAGTATCAAAAAAATCCTAAAATCTCCCCTTCTGTTTCCCACAGGAGTGTGAGCTCCCCCTTGACCTTCAGCTTATATTTTCATTTCCTCTGTTTAATTCCCTGTGTTAAGCATCAAAGTAAAGAGGCTTGTGACAATTCCGCCCAGTCTCTGATATTTAAACTATCAAAAGCATGTACAAGGCCATGTGACAACGTGTATGGTTAACATGGATTCCGTTAGATACTGTGATATGTGTTAGAACGGAACCATTGTGGTTGACTGTTCGGTATACATGTATCAAGATTAATTAGTACTTCATTAGTAGCATTGTTGAGAATGACAACTTGTCACTACTTCAGGCTCTTTCTGTCATTCTACCTAATTAGATTTCTTACAAATTCTTTTAGATTCAGTTTCTCTTTGTAGGGAGAATCTGAAATAAGAGAATCAAAACCAATGTTTATGATTTAGCAAAGAAGTGGTTTGCGAACAAATTCATCAAAAGCTAAGATTCTTTTGAAAGTCTTGAAAAATGTTTTTCTTCTCAATCGTAGACATCAACATAACTTGATGACTTTTATGTTGATGAAATTGGAAATCAATGGTAAATTTAGCCATCCTAGAGGGTGTAATGAGAGAAACTTATGGTTTAATTATCTGACTGAAAGTATTTTGCATACTTGTATCTGCTTTCACAATGTCAAGCTATAAGGTTTCTTATACCTTGACTCCAATGGCCACCTTTCTTGTATCATGGAATGCAGCTAGGTGGTTATTTCTGTTAAAGGTATAAGATGAAGTTTGTAATAGATTGATATTGTGATGATGACTTGTATCAGGACATGGGAATATGACTGATAATAAATTAACAATGAAATAGTAGGTGAAACAGCTGTCTATTGTATTACTGTGTTCATTGACTGAGTTTAATTGATAGTCATACAGTACAAATATTGATTATTTCTCAATTATTTTACAAATTTACAAAGGTTTTAAATAGTTGTTTTTTAATGAATTTTGATTTGACTCTATGATATGGCTGGGCTGATATACAAGTTTCAGGATAAATACTGCTATAGGAATTTATATCATTAGTAATAGCGAAATATTGCCCAGCCCTAGGTATCGATGATGACAAACCTAGAACTTCTAGAGTTACATTGAAACACTTACTGCAGCTTCTATGTTTTATTCCAAAGAAATGAAAGAGAAAATAAACACAAATACATGAAGGCAACTTTCACGATTCACTTTGTTGTCTTGTCAAATTGTCGTCTGATGTTTCAGTAAATTGAATGGGTTTCATTTATTTTTTTCTCAATGGGACAATTTTAAACAATGTTTTGTGGGTGACACGGCCTACAGCCTACTAGTGTCCTACTATAACTGTATATTAATGTTTAAATTGGTATATTTCAGGGAGAATATATAGATACTACTCTAGGAATGACTCTAGGTATTTCAACTATGGCAGGTAGGTAAATTATTATATATCATTATTGAATTATTATATATCATTATTGAATTATTATGTATCATTATTAAATTATTATATATATTTTAGATTCAAAGTAAATAAACTGCCAATACTTTTGTTGAATCATACAATGATCCTGTTTTGGATGTACAAATAATAAGATAATACAAACGCTTGCAAATACAGCCAATCAGAGTCCTCAACATACACAGCCATATTGTTTACAGTTTTTCTGTCGGATATCTGACAAAACTGACAACTTTTTTTTTTATTTATAAAGAGGGCTAATAAATAATCGTGCTGATACATAGCAATTAGTTTTATCTAACGCAATGCATCGATGAGAAGGAAACAAACGCGATTCTTCGGTGAATCGTTGCAGCCCTACCTAATATTATATTATTGTTTTTGTAGCTGCTGGGCTGGGTAACATGATATCAGATGTGTGTGCAATCGGGTAAGATCTGTTACACACTTATTGGTTTAACAGGTTCAAGCCCTGGACTTTGTTCCTGATTATTTATTCAGCACACTTTGTACTGGGCTTTGTGAGGCATAACCAATTTTATTCAGGTGAATTGTGGCTAATTGGAAACATGGGAAAGTGGGGAATAACACTACTGAGGTAAACCATCACCTTATGAAAGCTTTGTGAAAATCATTGTAAAGATATTTATGATGATCAAGGTTTTGCACTGTACAAAACTTAAAATCGGAAGTTAATTAACTACTCCCCCCTCCTCCTAAATTATAGTGACCTCATTAATCTTGTGTACTGTTGCGTACAATTTCAACTGTTACCACTATTGCTGCCTAATTCAAATTACATTTTATGATTTATATTATAATTTACAGATCAGCATCCTATGTGGAAAGATTAGCTTTAAAATTTGGTGTACCAATCCCAGAATTAACAGCTTATCAATGTGACTTAACTAGAACAAGATGGGTCTCAAATTTAGTAAGTATTTAGTAGTAGTAAGCTGTCTCTAATCTCAAACTTAGTATGTTAAAACTTTTCTTAATTCTGGACACATTTATATGGATAACAATTACTTTAATAAATAACTTGCGGCGTTTCGACGATGATGCCTTCGTCTTTGTCAATCATGGCTTGATAAAGACGAAAGCATCATCGACGAAGTACTCCTGATCTAATGATGTTTTGTTTGTGTTTCAGGCCAAAGCGTTTGGTGTAGGTTTAGGATGTATAATTGGAATGTTTCCCTTGTTGTTTAAACACGATAACAAGAAATGTGGCTCCAACTCGGACTCCAAGTCTGAAAACAAGTCGTGATAAAGTTTAGAAGTGATTAGGATGGTGGTTGTGAGAGGCTTTAACCTTGTAGAATGTGTGAGACTACTAATATTAAGATAGAACAAGCAAAAGACTTGTGGAATCCAAATTGAGATTATGATTTGTTGTGTGGATTCGCCAAAGACAACACTTCATGTTTCAGCCCATCTACAAAATGTCAAGTTATTATTATACATTGCCTGCAATAGTCAACTTTCTTGTGTGACTGAAGTATGTAAATTTTAGTCCAGGTCTCTGATTGGCGGTATTTGCTAGCTTATAATCCAATAAAATCTGTGCATCCATGATACACGAAAGATGGCTATTGTAGCCAAGGTATAAGATGAAGTTCGTAATAGCTTGACATTGTGATGATGGTTTCGGCCAGATTTCAATTCCTTGTGAAGATTGACCAAAGACCAAATCCCATCCTCAGGATCCATGTTAAGACAGAAATTGAGGGAGGAGTATTTTGCAATCGACATATATTTTAGATAAATGTATCACAATGAAAGGGTAGCTCATTCAGGATATATCAACAGCACATGAACTCTTAGGAGCCTTACATGTCGAAATCCACTGTTTTAGTTTTTTAGTGTTTTATTCTGGAAAGCTCACTGGTATTCTGTTATTGCCAACATGGTTTTTCATGGAGTTCAAATCGTTACTTTGTTTTTTATTGGGTTTTAGTATGTAATAGGTGGTTATGCACACATTTGGGATGTTTTATGTTGCATAATTCCTAATTTTGATATCTTTAGTCGTAATGACAAATTAATATTTATAACCAGATTAGATTATGCAAAGTAAGAAATTATTCTGTATAAATGAAATAAATATTTACAGCCAATTTTTATGTCCCTGATCGGGCTAATTTAAACAAACAACGCTATGCAATGTGCCATGCGGGAAAGTTTGACAGAATTGTGACATAAGTGTAGTCTTCTCTTTTTTTACAATAAATTTTGATTGTAAATATGTTTCTGAATCTGTGCAAAATGTAATGTAGGTATGTGAAGATTTGAAATGTTAAAAACAACACTATCAATGTCCTCTATTCATGCTAAAAGACCAGAATTTTTTAAAATTTTCTTTTAGGGTTTACAATTGTTGATTTTTTACTTAAACAATTGTTCTCAATTCTCCTCAACGCTTCAATAGAACATTTCTTGAGAGATATATTGTTAAAACAGATTTAATTGAGGAATCTTTGGGACCATGTCATAGAACAGAGCTGGTAGAAAGATAAATTGTACTGCCCCAGATGTGTTTTGGTAATTTGAATTGGTTGTACTAGGTAGTCATGAACTAGGTGGCAATATATTTTAGAAATGATATTTTAAATTGTTATATTTTTATAGATATCATATAGACAATGGCCCTTGTATTGCTAGCTATAATTCTTATGGAATTGGAAGTAGGTTTTTTAAACTCTTTATGTGCATTGGTGACACTGTTAGCACCAATTAGCATCATTCCAACGTCTGTGGTTCCTGAAATTCCACTAAAACTGGGCTTTTTATGATTGCCTTCTATAAGGCCTCATGGAATATAAGCAGATTTTGCATAAAGATGTCATTAAACGCTTAGTTTGATGATGCAAATTGATGCAATCAGTGTCTCCAATACACATAAAAATTTAAAAAACCTCTTCACAATCTCTTAAAGAATATTTTATTGAAAATGGGCCACCATTAGTTATTAGTTATATTAGATATATATTATTTTAGTTGTTATCACTATGTTATTAGGGAATATAAGTTTATAAACAATATATTATTTTGATGAGCAAAGATATTTAGATCAGATTCAAAACATTAATATGAACAATCCTCTGAATTTCTGTAGATAAATTGATATAATTAATAATCATAATTAAATACAAAGTTTATTTGCTTGCCATTTTTGTTTAAAAACATTTTACTACATTTATTTACTTTATTAGAAATCTAGAAGTTATCTTCCCTGAATAACGTATATATAATATAAAGATAATTACAAGAGCGAGTTAATTTAACTACAAAAACTGTTCAAGCCAGACCTACATTGTGTTTACAAACATTGGCCTTATTCTTGTAAACTTAACTTTAAATGATTTTAGTATTCTAGTTATCTGATTGGTCAATCACTAAAATTTATTTTAAATTTAGTTTTGTTGTCCAATCAGATTACTGTATTTTTATAATCTGGATATTATTTAAGTTAAGTTTGAAGTATAAGTTTGACTGTTTGTGTTTATGTTTTGAATTTATTGTTCTATTTAATTTTCTGGCAAAAAAAAAGATATCCTAATTTTGCTTCACCATATTATTTGATTGTAAAACACTGTTGATAAATCATTCAATTTAAAAATCTTGATAGTTTCTTTCTTCTATACTATTTTCTACTGGATAGCGCTAGCTCTTGATGGTAGAGGGACAAGAATGGCAGCGGGATTAGGGTTAAGAATACTGGGGTTTGGGTCTAGTAGGGAAGCGGGGCTTAATCATTAGCCTACATTTTTTCTTAGGCCGAAAAACCTACCACAATTCTTAGAAAAACTAAATAATCAAAAAATTGTAGAAAATGAAGCTGCTCTAATTAACAATAATACAGAAAAACACGTTTCGAGAATATGTGGCCTGGACCTGCAGGTTGGCTAGCAAGCAAGAAACGTACTGCCTCTGTAGAATTCCGATCTTAAATGTACACAGCCTGTGGCACACAAGGCCTCCTTTTAACTAGAGATCAGTAGACTAATGTGTTACATAATAGAGTCCAGGAACAATTAATGTTGTCATTTACTGTGATAGAAGAATTGATGCACTGTTCTTTTGCATTCTATAAGTTTGATGGTTTGAAAAGACATTAGGTAACAAAACCTGTTCATTATTTCACAAGTGCAATGACATCTCGTACTGTATCATTGGAGGCACACCTTAACATATTCTCTGGAAAATCAACACAGAAATTGGTAAAGAAAACACTTTAATTCACTTTGTTTCACAATTTATTGATTGTAAACAATAAAATTTCAAAACTGTCCGCCATATTTGTTTACAGTGGAGACCTGTTACACTTCGCCTCCAATATTTTTCAGTGGATTTTACCATTTTCCATTTAGTCCCTGGTCTCCATGTGGCTGTGGTATTTCGATATAATATTGTTCTTGACAATGAATAATAATTTATGGTGTTTACTCCTCTATTTTCAACGAAAAACCTATTTTAAAGTTTGTTTCCATAAGTTGCTATTTAATGGTCTAAGGGAACTCTTGTAATGAATTCCTATAGGAGTTGTCTCCCCATGATGATAGTCTTGATTGTCACACTATCATAGCCTAATAGACGTCCATGTCTCGATTGTCACACAACGCAATATTCTTACAGGCAAAACCGCCCTTACGTTAATTCGACCCACATGAGTATTTGTTCTTGAAACAAGTAAATGGCGATATTTAGATAGTTTCTACTAAATCTTAAGTCAACTAAAACAATTTTCGATGCTTGTTTTGTTGGAAAACCAAAGAATTTGAAAGTATTGATAATTTTTTCTTGAGAACTTGTGCAAAGTGGCTATGAGGGCGAAATGACCCCTGAAATACCATTATTAACTCCTAAAAATGAGAGCTAGCAACAGGAAAAGATAACTCAATCCATACTAAACCGACGTCAGACAACAGTTAACTTATAAATTAATCCATTTACTCTATTATCCATAAAAAAGAGAAAACTAATAAATCTACCACAAATTTAGATCTTTTTACATGAAACTAGATTAAAGAGTTGTCCATTATTCAACTGAACAAGCGTAAAGTGTGCCAGAGTCACTGTCAAAGTGTAGAGTCTTGATTTTCTTTTTAATATTTTTGAATTAAGTGGCAATTAACCGATTGTTTCATTTTGTGGGGAATGAGGCACCTTTTTAAGGAAGAAGGGGGCTGAATTATTTTTTCAATTCATTCTGTTTCCCTTCTCTTAAACCAAAAGAAAATAATTCTTCAGAGTTATTTTTGTGTGTGTCTTTATTTTTTTGGTTTGTAGAAAATGGGAGAATCCAGTTTGTTTGAATTTTAATTTCTGCATTTTTGTTAAATAAA